CTGCTAATCTGCCCTCCCTGAGTGGCCCTTAGTAGGGGGGCGTTTCCCTGATGTCGGTGGAACTCTCGATAAAAGCTGCCAACTTTCCACCTTGACCTAGGGCGATGCAGCCTGCCTCGTACGTATCCTTTGTGTGGAAACCGCGGTCTCTTCCGGGGTGAAAACGGTATATCTGGTCTTCGCGAAGGCGATTCCTCAGGTCGCGGATCTCGTTACTCCAGTCGGGTTCAGAGTGCTTCTTCGAGCGAGGCGATAGTTCCATCTCTCCCTCCATGCGGTCGATAAGCTGGGTCAACTCGTGAGAGTTGGGAGCTAGAACCTGGCGCATCCAGACAGAATCAAAACCCTGGTTCTTGTGCTGGCCCATCTCCTGCGACGTATGTCAGTTTATGCTACCAAGCAAAGGAGCATTAATTACTAACCTCCATCCACTTATTCAGATGCTCTAGGTGTAGATCTTTCGGGATGAACCGCTTGGGCTGGCCGTGTAGGTTCACCAACGAGTTGAGCAGTAGTCCGCGACTCGTCTTCGCAGGATAGTCATACTTGTGAGAGCACCACATCTCAAGACCATACGACAAGTAGTGAGGGTTACTCCCACTCGCAAACCTGATGGTTATTTGCTGGTGCATTGGGCTCAGCTATTCATATCTCCGTACGAGAGGGCATGGCAGACTGACCTTCTCGACATTGAACATCCTTCCAACATCGCCACACGCGATAGAGGTCCGATACTCCTCGTAAAGCAGCCCCTCAATGAGGAGCATACAGCCATTTGCAAGCTGCCAGTCCCCAGCAAATGGTTCTTGGCCGAGTTCTGAGGCGATGAGATCGTCTAGCATCGCCTCACGCCGCTTCGTTTGCTCTGCACGAGTCTCCTTCGGCTTTGAAGCTTCGACAACTGACGACTCTGCTTCATGTCCCTTGTTTGCCCCGGTGTCTTCTGGCATCGGGCCGTCAATCTCGTCGCTGTAAGCACATGATGTCGGAAAGGCTGCAGAAGCAGCGGAAGCATTAGCCACCTCGGTGGATGCTCGCCGCCACACACTATTGCCCAGAGGAGGCTTCGCGAGGGGTGTGTCCGACGGATACTTCCCTTGCACAGCTCGCAGATACGCATCCTTGGTCACATACTGCCGATGTAGAAGCTCTGCATCGGATAGAAGCTGTGCCAGCGACGGGATCTTATCTGCCTTCTCCAGCTGTTCAAAGTATCGTTCCAATGTCGCCGACTCGCGCTTCGGCCCTACATCGTCGATGAGATGCTCCCTAGAGATTGCTGTCAGTCTACTGGATCATGATGCATGATGTATGTACGCACTCCCACATAGTAAGCACATGTGCCTCTGTCGCAACACGTATAAGACGGTCGTTTGTGTCGAAAACGGACTTCGAGAAGTCAGCGGGCTTTGGGCTGTTGATGCGATTGGCGGCGAAGCCAAGGGTCGACGAATCCTCGGTTTCGAAACCTTCACCCCATTGACCATGGACAAGAGAGCGGTTGTACGTCCATTCCTCGTGCCAGTGTTCAAGCTCGGGTAGAATGAAAGCCATATTCGAGACACTGTCGTCCTTCTCCGCATGCAGCAATCGCTTGACTCGCAGAATGCCGTCATACGATTTGCCATCGCCAGACCACGGGAAGCCTCTCCGGAACACACGAGCGGTCTCTTCCATAGACTCCAGTAATGGTCCTGCTGATACGGATACAGCAGTAGTGGTTGGAGATGAAGGGATGGAAGAGGGTTTGGGAGACTCGGGTGTCACCGAACGAGTCTCGGATGCAGTGGCGGGAGGCTCAGATACAGCAGCGGCGGGAGGCTTGATACCCATTTGGGTGAAGACGAAGTCCGATAAAGCAGCGCGCATGCCCTTATGAGTGACTTCATTCGCACCATTGCTACCAAGGGGATGAATCTCGGACTTGCGGTGAGGATTGATCTGGAGCATCGAAGCTTTCTCGTAGAACAGCTTGTCAACATCGCCGAGGTAGCGCTTTCGAAGACAGTCGATACGATTGACAAGAATCCGAAGGATATGCAGTGTGACGACAAGGTCGGCCTTCTCCCAGTCGATGTCATCGAGCAGAGCTTCGAGCGTAGCAGCACGGCGCTTCCCTTGAACAATGTTGGCAAGAATAGGAAGTAGGTCCAAGGCCCCATCCTCCAGATCTACCATGCGCAACAGGTAAGCCCCTGTCCCATTCTCCATGGCGTTGGTGACACCGATGCGGACATCGCGGCGGATGGCATAGAACTGCATGTTGTCTAAGATGCCGGCCCAGTCGAATGAGCTATCCTCGGTCGTAGTCTGTATCCAGGAGATGTTCGAGCCCGAGATCACGGCGAGGCCATTGCGTAGGGATGTAAAAGATAGGTTCTGCCCGAGGCGACTACCAACTCTCCACATAGAGTGGTGCGCTTTCGTCCCGAACATGTACGCACTCATGAGGAACTGGTACTTGTTCACGTGGGCGTTCGCACAGAACACTAGCTGACTGAGAGCACTAGTCACGACCTTCAAGGAGAGAATCAGCTCTGCAAGCATATACTCCATCGGGATTCACTCACGATCCAGGGTGGCCTATGCTTGTGATCCGTGCGTTCAGTTGGATTTGCAACACCGAAGAGGAGACCCCAGAGAAGCGGCGAAGTTCGCTTGTAAGTCGTAGATAACCCCTTCATAGTAAAGTCGCGGATAGTCGACCGGTCGACGAGCTTGTCTTTTGATTTCCCTCGAGTCTTCTTCTGTGCGGACATTGGTTCAAGTCCTGGTACTGATAGTCAGACGATCATGAGTCTACGAGCGAAGCAAAACTATATCTACCGGGTTCAGTTCTTATGACTACGGGCCGCTCCTCGGAGTCCTGGAGGTCTTCTTCTTCATCCGAGTAGTCTATGTGGGTTAAGCATACAGTTACAGTTGTTCTCTCATTTGCCCAAAGACTCACAGACAGGACCTGCTTCGCCTGCAGCCGGCAAAGGATCACTCTGTCTCTTAACTTGCGAAACTCGTGCTCTCAAGCTGGTCTCTTTGAAAAGCTGATACAGCTGTCCACGCAGTACACTCAGAACATCTTGTGCGAAGTAGCTCGTGATAGCAGGGGTAAAGTGCCGAAATCGCAACGGATCGTGCTTGAGCGAGTAGTCTTTGTCGTAGTCGTCATGCTTCTTATCAGGTATGGAGGATGGGTGCTTCAGCATGAGTTGTACAGCTCTGTATGCGTTGTGAACGGTATCTGCTCCACTGAGGAACTTTTGAACAGATGCGCGATGTGTAGGAGAACGTGTCGAGCCTTGCTTAGGATCGCGAAGGTAGACTGCGATGAGTCTCCCCATGCTCCATTCCCCGGGAAGGTTCTGGAGGTATTTCATGACCGTGTCCAGTACGGCATCGTCTGCGTCAAGCTCGCCCGTAGATGCGTCGGGCGTGCTCATTCTCGAGTTGTGGCGCAGAGCAAAGAGCGAACGCGCGCCGCGGCCCCGCGCGCGTGGGACTTATCGCTTTTTGACAACATTTTTATGGTTTTCTTTCACTTCTGACAACTCTCGCGCGCCGGTCTTATCAGCTGATAGGGCAGCGCCAGCAACGACGCGCATCTTTGGTGCAGACCTTATTTATAAGGTCTGCGAAGGAGACAAGGAAGACGCCATCGAAGCACTCACTTTTTGATAGCATTTGCGCATCAACGATGACTATATATGCGCGCTAGTGCGGCTTACCTGGCTAAGACCTTTGACTCCTTAATGAATGAGCAATATATTAAAAAATGGGGATGAAGTCTACTGGGTCTAGCTATGGTGCTGTATGTCGAATTCTCGGGCATTGTGAAGCTCCTGCAGATGGTACGAGTCTTACTGTTGAGTGTCCATAGCGTCCATAGTACTCCATGTCCTCCAGAGCTCGAGACCGAGGCGTGGGAAATGTTCGGAAAATTGCGAAACTATCTACTGCCACTTTCCCGGGTGTAACCTCGCCCGGAGGAGGCTGTCGAAGGTCTATAACTATGCCAGGAGGGTACTCTGGTAGCCGTGTACGCTGCTGGAGCGAAGGGTGGGGATACGGTAAGTCCTTGTCGGGTCGATAACTGCTGCCGCACGCGTCGTGCGCGAGACGCGACGCGCGAGTTGGCCTCGGACTAGCCGGCAACCGTACTCGTGTGAATAAATGCCTGGCCATTTCGTCAGCTTCGATCAGTCATTTCACATTTGCACCGAACCATGACGGTCGCCGCCAGCACGATGCCCACAGCGTACAGAACCCCAACTAAGGCTATACTATCGAAAGAACAACTTGCCGCGTTCGAGTCCACACCAACACATACTGCCATCCTAACGTATATCGAGACATTAAACTCGGCTGTCGTGAACGTGAAGCTTACCGCCGACTGTTCTCAATCGCCCGTACGTGGAGCCGCAGATTGGGCGAGCTAGCCTCTGAGTTTATTAGGGATTAGATGCCGCGCTGAAGGTACTGGATCGCGTTGAGGACATCGCACGGGGCACCCCGCCCGTGGATAACAAAGCATCGCGTTTCGGCAACCCTGCATTCAAGACACGATCGAGTACTAGAAGTACGCATTGTACATCTCCTTTCTGCGCATAAGACTGACAGCTCCTCACGAATCAAGGAGTCAGTGGCTATCCACGAGACGTTACCTGACTTGCCGAAGGACGCGATCCAGGAGTTGAAGGCGTACTTTGAGGAATGCTGGGGTAGCCGGAGTAGGATTGACTACGGGAGCGGGATGGAGTTGAACTTTCTATGTTGGATGTACGTGTTGAGCCTATACGGGCGGCGATGATACTCATGGAGAATGCAGGCTCTGCCTCGAACGTCTTGGCGTCTTCAAGGACTCGGACCATATAGCTTTGGTGACGCGTGTATTTTTGGAGGTGAGGCCGCCGCATGTCTCGATAGCACAACACGCTGACAATGCTGCTCAGGTATGTTTAAGTGATGCGCTTCCTACAATCAACGTACTGGCTGGAACCGGTTGGCTCGCATGGTGTGTGGGGCCTAGACGACTAAGTACTCGAGCTTGCCTCCGCCACTCTTTTTGTAGTCGGTCATCAGACTAGTGGAGGACGGGGCCTGAGTAAGATACAGATTCTCCCAACGGAACACGAGGCGCGGCACGTGTGATTCGCGCGTCCTCGGCCATCTCCCTCCTACTCTTGCTTTCAACGCCCACGACCATGGATACGGAAGGCCAGGATGATACTCGTTCCTTGACCGTCAGGCTGGGATCACTGATTTGTGTGTTGATCCATGAAATCAGCTAAGGCTTTGTCAGCTTGACACTCCAGGAACTTGGTTAATGCGCCGACCTCGCAAGCAAAGCGAACGACATATCCTTCCAGATACCGGGCTTGTATGGCGCCCCAAATGGCAGAGCGGGCTTGAGTCGATACCCTCTGCGGACACATGTGTCGTGCTGGACAAAGTGATCAATGCCTTTTCGGCCCGGCTTTCGTACTTTCGGTCTTTCGTGTTGAATGTACCGCTTGAAGAGGTCAACTCTGATGAATCAGAGTGTAAAAGGTATGTTTCTGATTCAGCGCAGACCGAGCGCGGGACTCTGATTTGTGGACAATGTCGCCAGTAAAGCTGATCGCTATCCACAGGTTGACACGCGATGACCTCGACAAACTCAAAGAACTCTTGGTCTCTACCGAACATAGTTCGGGTGAGGCTCTCGCTTCATCGGACGCGACGGTCCAGAAGGAGGCATGCCGCCTTCTTGGTCGATCCGCAAGCCAGTTGCAGTTGACTCGTGCTCTACTTCAGTACCTTGGGACGACACCATGGGGAATGAAGTGCACGGTTCGCGGTAGCAGGCTCGATACATCGGGTGTTTCAACTCCTGTGAGACTGTTCGCGTACTCGCTAGCTTGAGCCTACCAAAAGCTGGATAGACGTCGAGAGCCCGTGAACGTGGACCGTGATAAATAGAAGAACGCCCACAACTCATTACCAGCGTGCCTCATGGGTGAGCATTCTCTTCCCTTCTTGGCTCATTTCTTACTTGTTTCGCGTATAGAACCCAATCATGGCCGCCGAACATAGAAGATCAGTTTTATCGTGTTCACAGTTAGCCACACGACGTTGACACGCCTCTCTAAGTAGACCGTACCTCGTGCATCTCGAGGCTCTTCGAGGGCATTTTTCCTAAATCGGTCACCATTTCCCAACCGACACATCGGCATAGCTGAAGATAACCGGTCCTCGGGAAGCGGTATTCATAAACTCAAGCTTCCGCGTCACCTGCGCCTCTTATCAGTATGTCATGGCCCCCGCCATGTCCGACCGTACTTTATCCCTACGCGTCTATCATGTCACGTACGGCCTCTTAACTCCTAGCTCCAGCGTCAAACACACTGTATGGCTTCTTGATTGCGACTGCGTAAGTCGTACCTGGCATGATATGAGACCCATGACTGAATCCCCATAGCTGCAGACATAATCAATCATCACTTTACCTTGAGACTGTCAATACAATGTCCACAAATAGTGATCCGAAGAGATACTGTCTACGTATCCGCCACAGAGCTATGGCAAATCGAAGCACCGCGGGGGCCGAGCGTGAATACAGCGTCGCCAGGGATGCCTTCCCCAACTCTGTTTAGGCGCCAGCGGAATGTCGGCCTGTCAGATAGTAAACGGACGCAGCTCCTTCAACACGAGCAGGTGCAACGGCTGCTTCTACGGCCTTCGTAGACTTATATCATCTCCATTGTACATTCTGGCATTGCGAAGCAGTATCGGAGATCAAACATGAGTGCGCTACCTGCAGTGGAATCCCGTACAGCGCCTCGCGTGAGAAAAGAACATCAACGTACGCATGCAGTGAGTGTGCCAATTGTTCCTATCTGGATGGGGTGAGGACCCTTCTAACCACCATCTTCCCTCTGGCTCTTCCCCCTCCCGAACGCCCACTTCCTGCCCTCATCATCCACAAGCCTTTGACCACTCTTCGAGTACAGTTATGGCGGAGCGGGCTTCGGTTCGGAATACTGCTAATCGGGCTCCTGGTGACGTCTTCTTCATACGCGCATTTCGCATCCGCTGATATCTCACCTGCTTATAGCACCTCCACCATTACTGACATTTCTGGCTTTTCTCGCAAGCCTAGGAGGCTCGGGTAGTATCCCCGATATTCCTAACGCTCAGATAGTACAAGATGCTCCGGCGGTCATGGATACCCCACCAGCACCGGAGATACCGCTCCCAAGTGGCCCCAATGCGGTTGCTCCTGATGAGGCTGGGATTAACAAGCCTCCACCCTCGAACCCGATGAGGAGTTGCTGTGGAAGTAGGAAGAATGGGAGGCGGTTGGTTGTTTGCATTGATGGGACCTCGAATCAATATGGTGATAAGGTACGCCATCTCCGGTCAATGTTCGGCGCAGACGGACAGAATGTATCAAACACTCGATAGAACACGAACGTCATAGAGCTGTACCGCCTGATCCGCAAGGGGGAAGGTGACAATCAGCTCACTTACTACAACAGCGGTATTGGAACATATGCCCAGCCGTCGTCGAAGACGTGGTCGTATTATAAAAGAACGATTGGTCACAAGCTCGATCTCGCTATCGCATGGTGAGACGCTCTTCTGAATGACACCAACCCTGACACCGCGACCTCTCATGACGTTTCAGGAACTTCGAGCGCATTCTCCTTGGCGCGTACCACTGGTTATCCGAGAATTATAGGGACGGAGACTGCATATTCTTGTTTGGTATGGGGAAAATATAACTGTTCCATATATCCTTCGCACCCTCAAATTCGCACAGGCTTTTCGCGGGGCGCGTATCAAGTCCGCACACTCTCCGCAATGATACGCAAGGCGCGTTCTCGGTAGGTCCTATCCAACGACACCCATTGAATAGTGGTAATCACAGGTCGGGTTGATTCATCGGGGTAACGAGGCGCAAATTCCATTGTATGCTTTATGGCTGGCGCTCATTCGTGCATTGCGCATTGTTAATGTTCTCTTCCGTTTGCTAGTGCCTATCAGTTATATGCCGATCCTGAGAGTGACTTGGTTCATCCTCCTGCTAAGGACATTGAAGATCCGGAGGCGTCTATTCCACGGGAGTCGTCTGCTGCAACTTTCAAGACGACATTCTCCCGTGAGGTCAAGGTCCACTTTGTCGGCGCATGGTATGCATTCTATCTACCCGCATAGTCGGTTTATTAAGTTGATACCCTTGTCATTAGGGATACGGTGTCATCGATTGGGGTGGTACGTGCCAGAAAACTCCTCCCCGAGACAATCGATGGTATGACGCACGTCTGCTTCTTCCGGCACGCATTGGCTCTGGACGAGCGTCGAGTCAAGTTTCTGCCAGAGTACGCAAATGGTGGCGCTGGACCTTCCAAGTCACAGCTAGAGCCGGTTTCGGACGAATCTCAACCACACACGAAGGAGGTGTGGTTTGCGGGGACACATTCGGACGTGTGAGTTCTCTGCGTGATGATACTCTTGTGTCAGAGCCCTTCTTTTCAACTTATCTGATACGCGTGCTCGTAGAGGTGGTGGAAATGAAGAGAACAAGAGCCTCAATCGCACTCGCCCTTCTCTGAGATGGATGTTCTCTGAGGCCTCCGCCGCTGGGCTTCGCTTTGATCACTTCATACGCAACTCTGAGGATATCGATGACATCAAGATCGGGAAGGAGTCTCTCACCCTTGTATGGAGGGTATTCGAGCATGCGCCCTTCCGTCGCCTGACATACGGCGAGCGGAAAGGTGGAGGGCGCTGGATAGATAATCGATGGGGACTTGTCGAAATTCTCGTCCTGCTCGTATGGAAATTGGTTGAGTTGCTTCTCAACCTCCTTCACTTCTTGTGGAAGCTTGTCACCATGGACAAGCGTGGGCTCCGCGCGGGTTGGTCTGTATTCCGGCCCTTGACAAGTCTGGCTCAGCCGACCAGTGTCGATGATCAGAAGGCAGAGGGCTGGCGAGCAAACAAGACAACCTCTTGGTACGCAATCTTGGATGTCATTCCGAGTGCTGGCCTCACCACAGTACTAGGCCACATCGTGGCAAGGGACGCGTCATTCAGTTTGGCCAGCGAATCCATACCTCGGTCTGGCGTTCGAAGAATCTCAGCACGGTCGTTGCCGAGAATCCCACTGGCGCACCAGAGTCGAACGTCATGAAGACTTCGATGTCTGCCACAATGTCCCGCTCGGTTCTCTCTCGCCTAACCTTTTGGAGCCAGTCGCAGACGATGTACACGCCAAGCGCGTACTTGCCTTCGGAGCCAGAGTTTTGGCAGAAGATAAGGCAACCGGATACGGCGCTCATCGGCACGGCGGATGAATGGAAAGACTGGAGGGAGGTGGATCTGTACGATTCGATTCCTGACCTGTTCCGACAGTACATCGCCCACCCCGCGGTCGACCCTAACGACGATTCACAGCGGACACAACTGGCAATGATGAGCATACATGCCAAATCAGGTGAGCACTTTTCACACCCATGTTCAGGCATATCTTTTCCTCACGGAGAGAATAGTGGAGGGCCGCGACGTGTTGCTTCGTGGGCTACACGGGCTTCTAAGCGACCATGCCAGGCCCATAGCAGTAGATATTCTGTGTAGTGTCTTGGCGATCCTCACCCGGGCCGGGACGAGGGCGAAGGACTCCTCGCCTCTTGAACTGTGGCCTCATATAATACACCGCTTACCTGCAGAAGCCACGGACGACCAACGCCAGACCATCCGGCTTTTCATGGAGAACTTAGCAGACGGTCCAGACAATCATTTATCGTGTTTGTATCGATTCGTCTCCTTCATTCTTCGAGAACGAGCTAACCATGCCGTAGATATATTCCAACAATACGTCGGCTACGATAGCAAGATAGAGAGCGATGTCACACAACACCGTCAGCTTGATGCGATACGCTTCTATGCAAGCTTAGGTACACCCTTCGCGTTCCAATCGTATGGCGTCGCCAAGTCTCATGCTTCAACAGCGGATACGCGGCAAATGCTCTTTGACGAGTTAAAGAAGTGCTTGCAACTCGCACCGTCCAACGAAGATCCCACGCCTGCCCACATCGACAGTAGTATTCTCTGCAGCGTTTTAAGCGCAATCCTGGAGAGATCTTCTGGCCGCCCCGATGAGATGCTGGGACAATACAGGACAGTACGATCGCAGATCTTGCGCCATATCGGGGACTCGGCAAGTCAAGAAGATCTTCAGATCGTACAGCGCTTTGTGGGACATTTCTCGGATTTGGTTTGGCGAAGTGAGCACGATAGCCTATGCGTCCGGATACAATCAGCTCATGATGTTTATCCCACAGGTCTGAGCAATCAGACTGTCCCTGTCTGTTCCGTTACGTTTTCGCCCGATGGAAGGCACATTGCCTCAGGCTCATTCGATTCGATGGTGAGAATTTGGGACTTGGACGACGTCGAAACCGTGACTACTTGTGAGGGACATAGCGACGTGGTGTGGACCGTCGCATTCTCTCCGGATGGTAAATCCGTTGCATCAGGCTCAGGCGACGGCAAGATCCGAATATGGGATGTGGGAACGGGGGGGCAGTCTGGCGAGCCATTCTCGGGGCACGCTGAGTGGGTCAGGTCCGTCATGTTTTCCTCAGACGGGCGACACCTTCTCTCCGGCTCGAATGACAACGAGCTTCGGATCTGGGACGTGGCAACGGGCGAAACAGTTGGAGAAGTGTTTTCGGGTCATGAGATGAGAGTCTACTCTGCTGCATTCTCTCCCGATGACAGGTGGATCGTGTCAAGCTCTCGCGACTACTCAGTGCGCATCTGGGATGTTGAGACGAGAAGATTGATAGGGAGTCCGCGCATGGGGCAGCTCAGAGACGGAGGTCGACCAGAAAGCAATTCCGTCAGGTCCGTTGCGTTTTCTCCGGATGGCAAGCTCATAGTATCTGCATATGGCATTACGGTGAGACTGTGGTCAGTGGCAGTGGCGGCAGAGGGCCAAGATGTGGCGGTGGAGAGCTTGGCGTCGTTCAACGGCCATACTGGCCCGGTGAATTGTGTGGGCTTCTCGCAGGATGGACAGCGCATCGTCTCGGCCTCAGACGATCATACGATCCGGATGTGGGATGTGGCGACGAGACGACAGCTGGGAAGGCCGTTTACTGGGCACGCCGAGGGTGTATCGTCGGTCGCGCTGTCTCCGGATGGTAGACGCATAGTGTCCGGCTCGAAAGATAACACGGTCCGGTTGTGGGATGTGCCAGAGTTCCCACGGCCGGCACCGCCGAGGCAGAGACGGCAGCGCGAAGAAAGCGTAGGTCTTCCCGAATCTTGGTATGTCTTACATCAGCTGACATGGATGACCGTAGAGGGCCCTCTTAGCGCACGCGGAGGATGGGTCAGATCTGGAGGCGTGACCGCGACTCGCCAATAATGCTTGGATCATGGTAGCGAGATACCGATTCTCTGCACTTTTTAGCTGTCACAGAATTAACTTCGGATGTTCACGGATCTTCTGGGCGCTGGTTATGCATCTCTTGTGATACTTAGAGCGACAACTCAGTCCGGAATTTGCAGGCCATCAATGTCTGTCTCAGCATGCCCTTAATGCTTGCCTCAATGAGAAAAGTTGCGGTCCCAACGGCGCCGTGACCAGCGTGGCACGCTGGTCATTGGCAGCCAGAACCATGAACGCTTGCACACCCAACACGAATGATAACCCGTTGTCAATTATTCATAAGCTGAGGTGAGGGAGGAGAAGAGCAATGAGAAATCGAATGAGTCGATGGGATAAAGTAACTGTTTACTTTCGGAGCCAGTCGCCTAATACGAACCCGAACGATGTGGTCTCTTGCCAATGTCGAAGCCGAGTTGAAGCCCAAGGAGCATCCGCAAAGGTGAGGGTGGGTCCAATAGGAGTATCTGATACCCTCGCATAGCATAACCGGTATAACGATGCTGTGCGGGTATACTGCAAGAGCCTGAGCTGAAGCGGAAGTGCAGAAACATGCATCGCGTCCCTGGATCGGCATTATTTAACAGTATTTGGCCTGCCTCATCGAACCCACGTGCTCGTCGCTGCTCGTCGAAGGGCGTTAATGATGGCCTGCGGGAGGGCGAAATGCGGATCCGGACTCCATTGAAATTGCCTGTACGATGTACTCATCTCGGAAAGACGTCGATGGTTGACGGTAAGGATGCTATCGGACGCGCGTGGCGTCAAGCGTATGTACGCGTGTTTCGTAAGGGGCGTCACGGTACTGTCACGGTTCGGCGCATGGTCTCCTCTGAACCACCACCATCTCCGTAATGCCCTACAAAACCCCGACAAAGGCCATACTCTCCGCAGAGCAACTGAAGGCGTTTGAGTCGACCTCAACGCACGCTGCGCTCATATCATATATAGAGACACTCAACTCGGCTGTCGTAAACGTCAAGCTTACTATGGACTGCTCCCAATCTTCCGTACGTAGTGTTTGAATCTGTCCAGAACTGCCTTTGAGATGATCAGGGAGTAGAATTTGCGTTGAAGGCACTGGACCGAGTTGAAGAGATCGCACGCGCCACCCCGCCCGTGGATAACAAGGCGTCGCGTTTCGGCAATCCTGCGTTCAAGACGTTCCACGATCGAGTGCTAGAAGTACGCTTCATACCTCTCATCTAATACCCATAAGACTAACCGCTCTTGTTCAATCAAGGAATCAGCGACCATTCACGAGACGTTACCTGGCTTGCCGAAGGACGCGATCCAGGAGGTGAAGGCGTACTTCGAAGAATGCTGGGGTAGCCGGAGTAGAATCGACTACGGGAGCGGGATGGAATTGAACTTTCTGTGTTGGATGTACGTGTTGAACCCCCACGGGAGGCGATGATACTCATGGAGAATGCAGGCTCTGCCTCGAACGTCTTGAGGTCTTCAAGGACACGGACTATATAGCATTGGTGACGCGTGTATTTTGGAGGTAAGGCCGCCGCATGTCTCTAGCACAACGCGCTGACAATGCTGGTCAGGTATATTCAAGTGATGCGCTTTCTACAATCAACGTACTGGCTGGAACCGGCTGGCTCGCATGGTGTGTGGGGCCTAGACGACTATCACTTTCTTCCATTCCTCTTTGGTTCCGCCCAACTTCGAGGTACGCATCACACTCTTCTCACTATATGCATACTGATGATAAATCTCAGGACATAAGTACCTACGACCGAAGTCCATACATGATGCGGAGATCGTAGACGAGTTCGCCAAGGACTACATGTACTTCGCCTGCATCAAGTTTATCAACTCGGTGAGTCCCCCCGTGGTGCATAGACATATACGTCTGACGTATGCTCAGGTGAAAACGGCCTCATTACGTTGGCACTCTCCCATGCTGGATGACATTTCCGCCGTCAAAACCTGGGACAAAGTTAACGAGGGCATGATCAAGATGTACCGCGCAGAAGTGCTGGGTAAACTGCCAGTCATGCAGCACTTCCTTTTCGGGACTGTACTACCCTACGAGGGCCCACCTCCGCCTTCCACGGACGTGGATCCCAGCGATCCTCATTACGGCCACGCTCATGCACACGGCGAAGCTACTTCGACGTGGGGCGACTGCTGCGGTATTCCGGTCCCGTCTGCATTCGCTGCAGCACAGGCGGAGAAGGGTCGCAATAGTGCGGCTGGGCTCGTTGCGGGACCGGGCATCCGTCCAGTCCCATTCGACTAAGCCGTGGCATCAGACCAGAGCAGCAGTAGAGAACACAATATTGATGATTGCAAAGTTCTGTATCAAGTATACTACGATTGTACAACACTCTCACGATTCCGGAAAGCCTATGTACGACCCATCCACCTTGTGACCTTCTTCACGAACCTTTGGAACTGCGATGATAGTGTTGTTTGAGATGACCATGGGACGGCTGCCATAGTTGATCTGCACAGGCTTCCAACCGCTCTGGGCGAGCAGGACGCGCCATTCGGCCAGAGTGCGCTCTTTCGAGTGGAAAGCCGTCATCATCTACATGTTCACTGAGCATCAACTTGGCTGAAGACATATCGGCACTTGCGCACCTGCATGTCCATGGTGTACGTGTACGAGTTTGCACGCCCCCAGTTCGCGAGGAGAGGACTTGGTGGCGGAGGAAGACCTCCCCTTACTGGGATGTCATCCGCATCGTCATCAATACAGGCGTGCTGCATGATCATGTCGTGCAAGACGAGTTGTGTATGTAGCTGAGCCGCCTCGCGAAGGTTTCTGAGAATCTTGACCGCCTCGGCATCCGGCCAGTCGTGACAGATGTGTCTGACGCTATTCGGACGCAATCAGAGAAGGTGAAGGAAAGCGGACGTGTACAGGCATACTAGAAGACCGACGCGTCCTTGACAGGCTGGGGATTGAAGAAATCGTGACCTGTATGACGATCACTACATGGTACTCCATCAATGGCGCGTCGTACTCGCCTATTATCTGGATCTGCCCCGTAGCCAGAATGTACGGCGCCTCATACGTGAGATACTGCGATGTTTGAGCGATAGGTTAGCATATCGTTGAGTCGAGAACTGCGCGCGGGGACCTTCAACGTGTCAGGGCATACTGCCGCCCTGTCCTCGACTACGAGTTTCAAGTGCCGGAAGTGACGCGCCAAGATGAGCATCTGGGTTCCGATCCCGCCGCCAACGTCGACGACAACGCTCCCAGCTGGCAGCGACGTTCAGTCAAACCCTGTCACAAAGGTTGAGCGCTGCACCTCAAGGCTACATGCACAGAGCAGACCTTCGAGAATAGCAGTGGGATGGGTGAGCGCCGTTATCCCGAGCATAGCAGCACCGAACGTCTCCCTTAAGCGCTCGTTGCCGGGACGGTCTAGACACTCGAAGAAAGCGCCGTTGATGCCATCGGCTCCGCTCCAGGCGGTGTCGCAGGGACTGGTCGAATGTGATGTGGCCGGGGATAGGACTACGTCTGCCAAGTAGCCACCTCTCTTGAAAGAAAAATCGAGACTGTGCCAACGGGCTCGCATGTCAGATCGTTCCAATTCGAGCAGAGTGAAAGGTCGCACGTGAAGCTGAGTTGTGCAGGCAATCCGACTAATTTGGCGGACGGGCTAGCGTAATACAAATGAGTGGCATCGTAGCGAGAGATGGAGAGCGTGTACATACTCTGCAGCAAGTTGAGAGCATGGCCGCCCTGAATCCATGATGCTAGACACTCTATTGTTGGCGAAAATGTTCGGGGTGACTTCGGTGAAGACATGGTGTGTTGCTAACATCCTGAGAGCTCGTGCTAGTGTGCATAGTGAGCGTGTTGCAACGGAGGTGTGTTTGCGAGCCCTCACCAAGCTTGGAAGGGTCGATATTCCTCTGCTTGGCGATGTAATCGACATGCTTCGGGTTGACAGTGAGAGGCGGTCTAAGGAGTTCGGTATGATCCACTTACCGAAGGACCCTTCTCTCTCAGTACTTCCGCTACGTCAGCTTCCAGCGCAATCCTCAAAGCTCCACAGAGTTGGAACTGGGAAGAGATCCGGTCAGAGCTTCTGAGCTATGAGAGAGAGGTAGACTCATGCACCTTCTTCGACATGTCGAGAAGAGATGCGCTGGGAGATCTAGCAGTCATCGCAAGTTGCTCTGACGCAGCGATCAGCGCAACGACAGATTTGGCGACCCCTGGCAGGTTTCGCGCCGCCTCTTGCTTCTCGCTGTAGAGCGAGACGAGAGACGGAAAGTCTAAAGAGCTAGACGCGAGCACCTTCTCGATGCGGTCAACCGAGTCGCTGATGATGTTGGATAGTTTGCGCAGATCGGACAAGCCGGGAGATGACATTACTGAGGATTCGGTCAGTGACCATTGACAGCGTTTCATGAGACTAGGATCCGCACTTGCAGAAGCTTGAGTACTTGCTTGACACTTTCCGTTGGGAGCTTGGCCATGCTATATATCCTATCCGTATTCGCCAAAGATATCTTTTGGCTACACACGGCGTCAGTCGTCCCCTCGCCGCAGCCGAATGTGTGGCTCCGCGTGTAGCTCATGCTGAATGATACTCCTGCTCGTCATGTACAACGTGAGCCCAGCACGCGCATCAACCGACATCCTCAATGGCCTGAACATTAGGGTCGATCCTGTTCATGAAAGAAGTGTGTCAGCGTTCAGTGCTTGCCTTGGACGAATGCTTGGCCACCATATGCATTGTGACGATCGTGTGCACCGGAGGTACACAATACCCAGCGCATCTACATGCTAAGATGTGTAGAGATGCCGTCTCTTGCAATCCATGCACAAAACATATCGGTTCCGGCAAACCGAAGCGATGGCATGATTTAAGTGTTCGGACCAATGGTGCATCCGCCGGTTGCAGGATCGACGGGAAACTCTAGACCAAGGTGCGCCAAGTGAGTTTGAAGTCTAACATCCTGCAAATGTTAGCGTGCGACTCGGAAGAGTGCTTCCAGAGTCGGCGGTCGTGTATTTGACCAAAGGATACACTTGAGGACGCCATAGAATAACGTCCGTACTTGGACTAAGTACTCAACATCATCTGTCCCAGGGTAACACAGTTACTATCCTTATTCCGCTGAGTGTATATCGCGGTGGCGCCATCAAGGAGCACGAGAAGCTGGCCACGGTTTGGGTTGAACCCTGCTGAACGAAGGCTTCCCTGTTGAGAAGCTCAGGAGCGCGGTGTAATCCATTCTCGCCAGACGACGCATGAGAGGCGAGTTGCGCACGCACAGCTGTCCCCAACATCGACCCTGCGTGGTGTCGAATTGGTCAAGGGAACAACCGCGTGCGGTGGCAAGGCCTGAAAAGGCGCGGTGGATGTACGCACGGCAAGCGTGGGGAAGAGCACGTGGACGTGACTGCCGATCTCGCCGACCAGGTGCGCAATGTAAGTAGCCGCAACGCGTCCAGAACCACGACCATCGCCACATCGCCTCATTCCCCATTCAACGAGACATGGAACTGGTCAGCCGTGCCCGATGATCATACGAGGGACTCATAACTTATACCAGTCCAGTTCCCACCGCAGCCAATATCTATGGGCACTGACAACTCATTCTCGGCCCTGAATGACGACGTTCTTTGCGAGTTCTTCGAGCTCATGAGCGATATCGATCCTCCACGAGCGCGAGCCAATGAAGTGATTGGTCCGGGAGAGGTTCGCTTCCGCTTGGGCTGGATATATCTCACGCATGTGAATCGACGCTGGCGACAACTGCTCCTCTCTCTTCATTCACTCTGGGCGAAGGTATTCTCCGTGATGCCCGAATCCGCGCTGGATGAAGCATTATCGCGCGCAGGCAATGCTCCCCTACATATCACTCTGGACCATAACCAGTACTCGCCCCGCTATAAAAAGTTAACAGCGCTCGCTACAACCGCGATGGGCCGGGTCAGCGTCCTCTCCAATCCAAACACATTCAATTGGTACACGAGCTTGCACGACAAGGATCTTCCAAACCTCCTCGCGTTGGACATCCTTCAGAAGACTCAGCCATCTTCGAATATGCTTCTACGAGCGCCAAAGCTACAGTCATGCAAACTGTACAACATGCCTACAATGGTGATTGCACCGCACCTTCGGCGCTTGGTAGTCGAGCACTCGCTGCCGAGTCCCGTGCATTGCTTTCTTGACATGCTCAATAACCTCTCTCATCTCGAGCACCTAGACGTCATCTTACTAGCGAAGGGGCCTATCACATGGAGCGGCAACAACTGCCCCACTGTGATCCTTTCCCGACTACACAACCTACATCTCTTCGGGACGCAGCAGTCAGACATCATTGGTTTTTGGCAGAAGCTCGTTCTCCCGGACGATATGCGAGATCTTCGTATCGCTTATCGAGGGAACGCAGGCTGGGGTCCCGTTGTTGACACATTCGCGCCGCGTTTAACCCACGAATCATACAATGCGCTAGCTTTTCTACGTGGGCAAGGCGATCTCTTCAGATTGCGTGCCTTCCACTTCGACGCAGATGAGCCAGGCGTGCTAGACCCTGGCATGGACCACCTTGGCGTATCCCTCGAGATTATTCCGGAGTCCGATGGCGAGGAAGAAAGCGACCGCGATGAAGGGGATGACTCTGACGGCGATCCCCTACTGCAGTACGTCTTGCCTCGCGTGCTATCGAATTTCGAGGGAAAGGAGGGGCAGATCGAGCACATGTCGTTCGACTGTTTCAATGAGTTCGAGCTGTTCGATGAGCTTGAAGACGATCCAGACTACCAACCTCGCGTCGTGTTGCGCGATGAACTCTGCCCATTCTCGTCGGTGATTTCGGTATCGGGGCGTTTCACCGACTTCGACTTTAGCGTCTTAGAGGTGTCCGACGATGAAGACGACGAAGAGGATGGCTGCGTATTTCCGAAGCTAGTCAAGCTTATTGGGCGCGTCGATGCCATGAATTCGGGTCCAGAAAGTATGCAGGACCATTGGAATGAGCTGAATACCTTGTTCAAGAACCGCTCACACGCCGGTGTTCCCATTCCCCGCCTACACTTCATAGGCTACATGTTCCCGGGCCGGCGAGGCAAAGAAGAGGCCGACGCCGCGATGGCCGAAGGGCTGCGCGTGGCAAGGATGAATGGGCTGCAGGAATTCGTCGACAGGCGGGAAACTCTGCGGGCGGAAGGCGGGATCATCAGTATGCCAGCGTAAAGCTAGTTAAACCAGCTGTACATAGTACCACCTCAGACTGACATGATACGCCCATCCCCACTTGGCACCTGCCGTCAATTGCTGAATGTGCAAGATTCAGAGGATATCACAGAGAGTCCATGATCATCGAAACATGCAACAGCTTTATACGAAAACATCATTGTCTACTAGTAAAGAATGCGCGAGCCCGATGAGGTGGGCGACCATACGCTACGATACGAGTCCGGATATTGAGGATACGGGGATACGGGGGAAGATGTGATGGTGAATTGATTATATGTGGGGAAGGGAGGCATGCAAACAAGGTCCAATAGCGTCCAAGGGTCGCAGATCCACGACACCAATGCAGTGAGAGTTCGATAACGGAAACGTGAACGTAAAGTGGAAGAACAGCAGTGCGAAACCAAGAGAGAAAATAGAACGAGCCACCTAGGTCCGAAAGATAATCGACCACTTAGGCGTGCTCAAGCAGCCCACGGTCAATAGCCGCATTGATGACCGCCTTGCGTCCATCCAAATTCGTCCCGAACCGCTCCTCAAGTCTCCTCCTGATCTCCCTCTTCGTGATCGTATTCAGATCCGCCTCTGCCAGGATCGCACGCACGCCATGCTCGAGTTCGGCGTCACTAGGCCCGCCGCCGTGCATCCCATCGGGGCTGCCCGTCATCGGGATCTGCACGTCGCCGAGGTAGTTCGTCGCAGGGCGGGAAGGCGTGGGCTGAGCCACACCGCCGTACATGCTCTGCCCACCATACACGCTTTGTGCGCCGGCGCCGAAGGGGTTCTGCGCGTAGCCACCCGTTGGTGTACCGCGTCCGGACTGGTAGCCTGGCGGTTGACCATACGCGGCGGCAGGATGACCGTAGCCAAGCATGGAAGGCGAAGGCGAGAACGAGCGCTGCTGTTGTGGGTGTGGGTCGTAGTACGTCTCGCGGCCGTAGAGCGAAGCGGTAGCAGACTGGGCGTAGCCGTCATTCTTGAGCTTCGTAGGCGGTACCCATGAGCCAATCGAGTGGTTGCTCTCCTTGTCCCAAAGTTCGTTTTCCTATGTCATAGATCAGCACCCTATTCTCAAGGTCATGGACGGAATCGAACGCACGTAGTCGTTCCAGCTCTTGAGCGGGATAGACCTTGGGTCGAACTTGCCCTCGTCGTGCACAATGAGCTTCTTGCCGGCTTCACCGAGCACAATACGCGTCTGACCCCACGAGAAGTCGTCCATCTTCCAGAACGAGTAGAGCGGGATGGCGAGCGACATGATGGGGATGGCCAGGATGTAGAATATCATCCATCCGATCATGTCCCATTTGCGCCGGAGCACGAACACTAGCGCTTGGAGACCGTAGACTGCAACGATGAGCACAATGGATACCGTCTGGATCTGATCGCCTGATGCTGCGAGATAGATGATGTATGCGATCTGAAGGAGAATGAAATTAGTGGAACCGCCAGCCAAAGCTGAATAATGTAAGCACGCACATATCCGACAGAGACCGGTTGGATGATGGTCGACACCAAATCAATCATAACGACGAAGCGCATCGAGAAGCAACAAAAACCGCACAGCTTGTCCAAAAAGATAAGCTCCGCGAGGTTGTGCACCGTCGAGTTGATCCAACGACGCCTCTGAGAGAGCAAGACCTTCCAGTCGTCCGGAGCGACAGTGTACGCGTGTGCGTCGCGGACGAACTGCGTCTTGTACAGCGGGAAGTGCTTGAGGAGCAACGTCGTGAGGTATCGATCTTCACCGAGATGCAGCAAGTTCTTCATGTGCAACGTGTCCACACGGTTCTCGGCATAATCGTCGACCAACTGGGTAGAGACCAGGACGGGCTTGTGCGTGTCGGGGGTGCGGAGGCGGTAGAGCGTGAAACAACCGGGCAAGCAAGTGACAGATCCGAAAAGCGATTCGAAGGCCTTGGCGAGGTGGTGAGAGATGAAGTACTCGTAGACCTGCATCATCGTCGTGATAGATTGCTTCGCGTTGGCCAACGACGTCTCGCCACAAACTCCGATAACGCGCTTGTCGTGGATCATACTGTAGCAGTCATCAGTTTGCAATCCTAGCCCACAGAGGAAAGACGTACGCCGAGATAAGCCGGTTGAGCGACAAGGGAGCGACAGTCGTATCGGCATCCACCGTGAAGATATACTCATAGAACGTCGGGTTAACACCAATGACGTTCTTGATCTGGTGGTACATCTCCAATTCCAACGGGCTCATGGGCGCATTGAAATGCACGCGGTTGAAGAACCTCATGAGCAAGATCTGAGAGTCACGTTTGCCGCGGTTACCCGGCCTCGAGCGCTCAGAGGGCTTGCCGACCTTAGCGACGACGAGGTAGGGAACGACGTGTCCGTTGACCTCGTAGAGACCGGAGTAGACCTTGCCCATGTTGTGCTGCTTCGCACCCTCGCCGAGACTGCCAAACGAGAGCGGTTCGGGGTCCTGCGAGGGGTCGGCGCCGAGGATGTCGAGCACGATACGGGGCGTGGGCTTGTCGTTACCGGATCCAACAATCATACCGTCGCAGATGACGACGATGAGCTTGCGTTTGTCGTCGTACTTGAGCTCTGCGAGGGAGTCGATCGTCTTGCGCAATGAAGAGTCGCCCTCCGTGTAACACGGCACCTGGCAAACGACGAACTTATCGTGATCCTCCGGCGCACGCGCAGCTCCGAAGTTGATGGACGCGAGGAACTTGAACAGGATGATGCTGACCATCATGATCGAGAGCGCCAGAAGGAAGTACGCAGAGAACAGGCACTGCGCACTACGACGGTTGTCGACCTTGCCGATCGCGAAGAGGTTGCGGAGACAGACGCGCTGGCGTTGCAGAACGTCTGAGTTGAGGTTGAGCTTATCGATGTCCTTCGTGACGTCCTTGCCCGAGTTGTACTTGAACACGTCCAATAGCGAGCTATCCATGAAGTCACGGTCGCCTCCAAGATCACTCGGTACGCTCTGCCCGGGTGGCGCGCCGAGTGCGGGTCCAACGGCAATGTAGTCGCTCAGGTCGTAGAGAATGCCGTTGTACACGCCAACACTCTTCCCGCTATTCGCCATGTTCTTGATCTCGTCTGGAGTGTAGCCCATGAATCCAACGCGATTATTCCAACGCATGACCGTCATGCTCTCGAAGTACCAATCGGGACGCGAATCGTTGCTTTGGACGCGGAAATCGTGGTACTGCGTGTTGGCGTCCGACGAGTCGTTCTTGAAGCTGAGATACACGAATGGTGACACTGTGCCGCTGACACCGTTGCAGAGCGCCGAGACCTGGACCGGGAAGAGGTCCGTCGCGTCCGTTCCTGCATACGTCTGCAGGATCGACTTGGTGCTGACAACAGGTACAATACGCAAATGCGTCTGAGCGACCTGTGTCAGATCGAACACCTCGCCGCGGATAGCCACGAACGCGTCCGCCTTCCCGTTATTGTACCCATGGCTGCTCAATTCGCCCGTCGAGTAAACGTGTTCCGTGGGACAAATGAGCAGGGTCAAGCCAGCAATAACGAAGATCGCGCAACCACACGAGAACCAGATGAGCAGGTTGATCGCCAGCTTCTCGCGCCAGGCTTGTTGAATGTCGATACGTTTCATGCGCCCAAACCAGCGCAGGAATGGCGTGGGCACCCACCATGTCAGCAGCCAGCAAAGCGCAACCCAGCGCCTGCGAGCTGAGGACTCGCGGAGCACCTCGGCCGTCTCGCCTTCGTGCACCTCGCCGGGTAATGCTTCACGCTCGAGCAGCGCGTTCTTATCCACACCACCGGCAGCGCCGTTGGTAGCGTTGAACATGTTTCGGCTGGGCGCGTAACTTTCCGTGGCGATGGACATTGTTTCATCGCCATCACGCGCACTCGTGAGCCGGCTGCGCGCATCAAAATCGTCTGCGCTGCCCCGCGCGTCGTACTCGCCATACATATCCGCGCGCTGGAACGGCGATGCGTGGTCCATGAGCGGCAAAGCCTGGCTCGAAGAGGCATTGAAGCCACTGCCGTACGGGTCCGCGCTGTGCGGTGTGTATGGCTCATTCGCAGGTGCCTCGGGGTCCGCATAGGGCGCGTAGGGGTCGCTATTTCCGAGTCCGCCTTCAAGCTCTGCTTCCCGCATGCGGTTGCGGCGCTGTTCCTCGGTATCACGGGCACGAAGGAAGTCCTCGAGGGTGTGGAATGCACGTTGAGATAGGAAGACCTGTGATAGTAGATTCAGTTATAAAATGCTGATCGAGAATGAGGGGAGAACGCTTACCTTGTACTGTCCCAACACAACATCCCCCTCACCCAGCTGCAATGCTGTCCTCGTCTGCTCGACCTGTTCCCTGGTATCGCCTTCGACAACGCCCGCCTGAGCAATCTGCTCCCTATACCGATCACAGAACTCCCTCGGCGTCATGCCAACTTCAAACACATTCGCGCTCCTCCTCGCAAACTCCGGCAAGCCGAGCGCCCGCACCTGGCCCTTGACCGCGCGGCCCTCAAGCTGGTTCGGCAGTTGAGAGTCGTTGGGCGCGATGCAGAAGACGAACCATGACTGCGTCTCGTCGAGCGTCTCGAATAGTGTATCGAGCGCCTGCCTAAACTCGCCAGCGACGCAAGGCTGCCCGCCGTTCTTCTTCCCGTCTCCGCCATCGTCGTCCTCATCGGCACCGGCATTCTTCTCGTCAATAGCGCCAAGCGTATTAGAAGTGCCCCGCTTGATCGTGTTCTTGCGACGGGTCGACGGTGTACGCATGGGCTTGACGGGCTGCGAAGCGCTGACGATCGTCTCGTCGTGGCGCGGGTGAACCTGAGTCGCGATAGCCTTGGCGCTGAACAACCCACGAACGAAGGGGTTGATACTGCCCGTGCCCTCGCTGCCCGTAGCCTCTCCATCGCGACCTCTCAACAGGCTGACGAAGTCGGGGTTGAGCGCGTCGAGATTCTTCGCGAGGAAACCGTCGGTGCTGTATGTCACCGGTCCGTTATAGTGGTTGACCGTGAACGTCGGGAAGCCGGAGCGGTCCATCGAACCCGTGCGGAAAGAACCATGGTTGCCCCAGCGCTTGGCGAAAGCCTCGGCCATCGTGTGGTCCGTCTTGCGCGGTGCGCGACGCGCCTGGTCGTCCATGATATGGATGAGACCGCCGGGCTGGTTCTGGAGCAAACGAATGCACTCAGAGTTGTCGAAGTACGGGATCTGTGGGACGAAGCGGGAGATACCCTCCTGAGAGTACTCGGCGACATGTGCCTCGAACGTCTTGCGCTGGACGAAGTGGATGAGACGCTCGTTGGCGAAGTTGACGCAGAACTGGTCGAGCGAGTTGGGCCGGCTGGTCAAGTTCTGCGGGCCGGGAAGGTCGAAGAGGCCGATGAAGGTCACGAAGTCGTCGCGGCAGAGACGTTCGTTGATGTGCTCGTTGAGCCACGCGAAGAGCAGGGAGTAGAGCGTCTTGGCAAGGTCATCACGGTTGTCCGCTGCACCATCGGGATCGAGGAAGACGGTGCAAAGCTCCTTCTTAACGAGCTTGGTCTTATAGCTGAGCGCAGTCTCGAGAGCGTTGGGAAGCACACCCAAGAACTCGGCGACGAGATTGAGTACATCCGTATTGCGCACGACGGCGGCATCAACGTCGCGGGAACGATCGACGGTGAAGTCGAGATTGCCGAGGTGGAGAATGGCGGCGATGAGCTGACAGGTCTGGGCCACATGACGTTTAGAGAAGCCGACGTTCTTGAGAGCAAGCTTGAGATGCTCGAAACGCTGTGCGTCATCGTCGCGGACGTTTTGACGAGCAGCGGGCACGCCTCGGCCGCCGAGGTACCGGAACGTAGCCTTGTCGGTCAAGTGCATGTGCTGCCTCTCCTCTTGCGTAGCTCCTGCGACGAGATAGTAGAAGATATGGAAGTTGCGCTCGCCAGAAGGAGCACCAGAGACGCGGTTGCGTTCGAGGTAGTAATCGAGCGTCTTGACGCCGGACAAGCGACCCTTGTCCGAGAACTGGAGCTCTGTGTACTTTCCGAATCGGGAAGCATTCGAGTTGAAGAGCGTGCGGGCATTGCCGAACGACTCGAGCACAAATTCGGCAGCAGGCACCTGGTGTGCCAGCTTAGAGCCCTTCTTGCCGGCGGTCGGTACACTGAGCTCGAGGATCGCTTTGATCGCCAAACGCCGGTTCTCACTCTTTCCACTCCCAGTCTCGCCGCTGAAGATTCATCAATTCATCAATATATGTTATCCCCATTATCATGGGTGAATACTCACGCTAGCAGTATAGACTGGTCCTGTGTCGTCCTCCGCATATGGTAGTATGCATTGTTCGCGAGCTGGAAGATATGCGGCGGTTGTTGGGCCTTGTCTGGCTGGGCGGAGCGGTACTCGCCCGCGTACTTGTGCATGACGCTGTCGGCATTGCTGGGCACATATTTGTTCGGGTTCACGGCCACGAGCGCGCTGGATCCTATCCTTGTGTAGATCGTGTCGGAGAGAAAGCGTTCCCGTAAGCAGCTGACGATCGTCTCGTCCGACAGCCCTTGGAGCTGGGTGAGGTCCTCGACAGCCTCCAGCCGCTGGTGAATCAGCGTGCTCTGCCGATTCATCGTGTAGAATAAAGAACGGGGGTGCCCGAGGGCAAAGGGACGGTGGTGGAGGTCAGAGGTCGAGGTGCAAAACGACCGTTCCCGCCGTCGTCAGCAGCGCCTTCACCCCGCGGCGACAGCCGGCCGCGCCGCGTGGTCGCCCAGCCAACTTCTTTCTCTCCTCCCTTCCGTCATCATCAGACGGCCCTCAGCGAGCCACTCAAAGTTATATCGATATGTGCACCGTCTCTACTGTAGACGAGTGGACTATGGTCTGCGTATGGCTCACGACGACTCTATCTTTGGGCCCGCCGTTGCCGTTTCCCCAGACTGCTGTGCGGCGCTCCCACTGACGGCCTTCTTTTATCCCCGCGCGCACGTCTGTGCACGTCTTGCCTGTTTCGCGTCAGTTTCGACAGCTTGCTGCGCTCCTTCACGTGTGAGCTGAGCGAGCATATCTACTCAGATCTCATGTCGCGCCTGCCACTGATTCGACAGGACTTGATGCATCAATACATCACTGCGTGAAGCCGAGAAGATCTCAGCGTAACCCGAAGCTCAAGCTTGCACTTGAAGCCCAGTATCGAGCGTACGCTCGCCTGAATGCTGTGGAATTTCGTCGCTTACAAGGGATGCAGACCCCGAGAAGCTATACTTAGTATCAGGTTTCCACGGGCGCATGCCCCCGGCAAGGGTGAACCTCGACCGTACAGCCCGGACGTCCGTGATTTGAAGCTCATTCAAGCTAGCTCCCAAGATCTTCTCTACCGGCTTCTAGGCAGTCATATGTGGTCAGAGTCGGGCAGTTGGCGTGCACCCTCGGACGACAAGCGCCCGACGTGTCGATCTTTGTGGGCCCTCTAGATAAGAGGTACACAGCCTGCGACTCTGTGTATCTCCTTCAATGCATTTTGTCGCGAGGTGAGCCGGTAGTTGTGCTCCTACACGATGCTGAGACAGACGTGAATAGGCAAGCATTACGTGGCATGTGATAGTAAGGGTCTTTCTTCGCGCACAGAGTGCATCCCATAACTCATCGCCACATAAGAGTACAATGCCAAATAGTCCGGACAAGTACAGAATTCGCCGTTGATATGTTCGATAATCCCGGCACGTACCTCCATCTCATCAAGTTTGAAGGGGTGATTTGGGCAATGCCACTTGATCTACGCCAGCCTCTACGCCCAAGCATCATCCACCCATCAGCCTTCGATGTCGTGTACGGGGCTTTCTTGTCCATCCGGGTTGTTCATTTGCCGGATCCGCCAATATTTAATGCTTGAAGCTTACGCCCGCCGCTCAGATAACATCCCGGAGGGCTTGGCGTGCGGCGTTCTCCCGCAACAGACTTCTTTAAGACCTCTTCGTCCAGCACTCAATGTATATCTCGTCGGATCCCGTCGATGCCACGTACTCCCGAGGGAGGCATCTTGTACATCTACCCGTATCCTATTGCCTCTCTCCTAGTGGGGCGACTTGGAACGTGCCGTATTTCCGTATTTCCATTTCTGAACGCCGATTTTCCCATCATAGTATACGTACCCATCTCTTAAAAAGCCCACTGCTTTGTTCTTAGCACCGTGTGCAACACTGTGCGCCGACATGAATCCCACTTATCCCCTCCAACCCGTGGCGAACTTCATCTCGTCCTTCCTGGCATTTCTCGTCATCATCAGTCAACCCCGACAACCATGTAATAAGGGCATCATCTACCTCGCGGTCTGGGTGTCTATTTTAAGCTTTATCACGGGCATCCAGATGGTCATCTGGAGGGATAGCGCCGACACGACCATTGCGCCCGTATTCTGCGATATAGGTCCGTCAAGTCATCTTTGTATCTCACCGATCCTCATATAAGATATGACATCGTGCAGTCTCACGCATACTAGTGGGCACCTTGATTGCCATGCCCGCGTGTACACTTATCACTTGCCGCTGCCTGCATGACATGGTTCGATATTCAGTAATAAATACTGTGAAATTTCGTAAGGTCAGTCATCTCAGGGATACCAGAGCCGAATGTATACTGAGCGATGATTCAGCGTCGGCGCGATTTGCTTCTCGACCTTGTACTCTTCCTCGGTCTCCCGGTGATCTCAAACATCTTCTGTGAGCATACGCGTTTTTGTGAATACTCGTGGCGCAAGTTCTGAACCCCAATATATGTCGGTAGACTACGTAGTGCAATCAGCACGCTTTTCTGTCCTCGAAGAATCAGGATGTGGGGTTGCGATAGTCGTCTCTGGCTTGACCCTCATGTTGATAAGCGGCCCCCCTCTTATCGTATTCTGTTTCTCATTCGTATACTTCAGTGAGTGTCAACTACTCCCAACCTACATGCGCCGTGCTGAAGAGCATACTCAGGTATCACCATTACCCTTCTTGTCAAACACAGGCGTAGCATGAATCGACTTTTTGGGCGTCAAATGGCCATATCTCAGTCCCTCTACCTCCGCCTTCTCGCGTTTGGGTTCATCCTGATCTTAGTCTCGGCAGCGGCGTTCGCGAATGTCGCCCCTCTTCCTACGGAGTTCTATCCTGGGTGGTCTGTGGTACACTCGGACTGGACACCTCTCTCTGTCTCGACTGCAGAATGGCAGGCGGGTGGATCTTTGACCATCTTCGGCGTCGTATGGAACGGATGGATTTTCGTTTGGCTCTCGACAGCCACGTTCGGGCTTTTCGGGCTCACGCATGACGCGCGAGCAACCTATATGCGCGTCCTTCGAGCCGTCGCTGGTTGGCCTGAGAAGCTGCATCTATGCAGATCTCATGCGGATGATGATTCGATCCTGCCTCGCCATCGCCTGAAATGCGCTTTGAAGCTTTCCAAACTAAGGTATGATACCGCCAAATCGTTCGGTCAGTGGTACTCAACTCACCGACTTCTTCAGAGGCGCTTCATTGCTCGATTGTACTTTACCGGTACCTCCCCCGGCTGCTGTTATTCTCCCGGAGAGGGCAGGTATTGAAGTCGAAGTTACGGTGGAGTACCAAGGGGACGAAGACGCGAAAACTCTGACAGGGTCGGGAACGGGAGAGAAGGCTACGCGGAAGGTGTGACTGCGAGATTGTTGAATAAACAGGGATTAGTAATGATACTGTATAAAACGGGGACCGTCACGATAGTAGAGCGCTTTCCTTATTAATCTTGTTCCAGATTGATATAATGCTTTGGGGGCGTTCGTTAGTAAGAGCTTTCAACTCTCCGTCACTCGACGCAGATGTCCTCACAGAGGGTCCGCTAAGATATGCTAGCCAAGTGACTTCGTGAGTCTCGATCCCGTCTACGCTCATACAAGTCAGACGTGGGCCTGTTCGATTTAAATGGTGGCGGGACTGCATGCAGCAATCGTCGGCGGATCAAAGTACCCCGGCGACAGATGTTGTGAGTGGAAGACCGTGGCTTTCAGCGCGTTCATTGTGCAACAGCCCCACAGGTCGGGCACCTCAATAGCATTCATAAGGCGGGCTCGTACGCATACCAGTCAGCTACCTCTTACAGGACCGTCGCTCTTGCAAGACCATCGTTGCCGATCCTGACCTGACCGACTTCAAAGAGAGAAGCTGAGGTCAAATGATACAATGTGATGAGTATGTCAAGCGGGCGCTCAGCACGCGCAGACCTTCTCCCCTGGTCGTACACCATTATGCAGGGCACATAGGCGGCATCCACTTGACCCCAGAAGCTGATACGTATACCGTACACGCGGTGACATCAACGTAGTGTCGGTGTCTCAAGTCCGAGGCAATCCCTCCTCGGCCAGCAGTTTGAAGGAGTCATATCGCATATTGGCTGTACGACAATGACAAAACACCGTCCAGCTCTGTGATATAAGCGCAAGCCCTTCACCATGCGCTGATCCTCGATACAACTGGACTCCCCATGGCACCTCTCAACCTCCCTTTCGCTATCGTGAATGCCTTCACAACCTCCTTCAGCGGGGGTAACCCCGCGTCCATCACCCGCCTCACGCCCTCCCAAGACGTTGAGGTCACAGATGCCCAGCGGCAAACCATCTCGCATAACTTGAACCAGCCGATGCACATGTTCGTCGTTCCGCAGCCCGATGGTGAGTCGCGTGCGCTGGTTCACGAACGTGCAGGAGCACAACGTCTGCGGCCACGCTACCCTCGCCACCTCTGGCCTCTTCTTCAACGAGAGCTCGCAAAGCGCCGTATCTATCCCGGGAGGAGATACCGCCCAGACCCTGAGCTATACGGGCTTGACGGATAACTTGTCCGCTACAAGGGTTGAGGATGGGAAGATCCAGATTGCACTCGACGCCGCGAAGGTCGAGGAGATGGATCGAGAAGACGCGCGCGCGGTGCGACTGCGTGCCGCAATCGCGGCGGCGTTCGGCGTGGACGTTGGCGTCTTGTACATGGGCGCGAGAACGGGGTCGTACAAGATATACTGCCTCATCGAGCTCGACACGGATGACATCGGCGCGTGTCAGGTCGACTTCATGCGATTTGTGAGTCCCAAGTCGGACGGTGGGTATATAGGTGTTCACTGACGGCGAGGACAGTTGGACAGCGACTTCATCATCCACGTCTTTGGCGCCCGCCCCCATGCCGCGGCACGCGAGAAGGGCGTCGCTTTCGAAACACGGATGTTCGCGCCTGATTCGGGAGTGTACGAGGACCACGTATGCGGCTCGGCGCATGGGCTACTGGTCCCATATTGGAATCGGAAGCTCGACAAGAAAGGTGCAACGATGCATTCGCATCAAGCGAGTGCGCGGGGTGGGGATCTTTGGGTCAATCTTGATGAGGAGAAAGCGCTCGTGAGACTAGCGGGGCACGTCATAAAGGTTGCGCAGGGTAATATCATGGCTTGAACGAGAGGTGCGGTCGGATGGGGATGTTGGTGGTGAGAGGCAACTTGAAATACAAATCGTGGCAAGCGCGACTCTCACGAGCGCTAGTCCGCGAGTTGCGACATGGCGCCCTCGCGCGGCGGTGGTCTTTTGTCGCAAACCCTCACCATCCTGAACAAGCATGCAATACCTGTAAGACCTCGTTCGACATTCGAGCTGGGTGATAATGTCTAGTTCACGTTTGCTGCATGATATGCCAGGCATCGGAGATCCTCTCGCGCCGCATCAGATAACTCCTTGATCCCCTCCTGAGAGCTATGCCTACGCGAAGAAAACTGTACGCATCTCTGCTATCTGCTTCGCCGCGCCACATATGTGCATCGTATACCTTAGTGTGATGCGACATGATCATGCTAGGAAAGTGCCATCTGCCAGATGGCACGTTCCAGCTGTTAGTCCGGGCCGGATCACCGGACTCGACGAGAAGACAGCCATGTACACGAGCCGTTTGTGCCCTGTTAGGGTTTACACCCCCCCGATGCTGGCCGTCGCGGACAGCTTCACATCAGCAGGTCTAAAATTGGCAGTCTTACGGAATCAATGTGCATACCTATCACAGGCCACCATGCATACGCACCTGCATACATGTTGGATCTGGTAGTAGTGCCATCTCTATTCTGACTGCATCCTTACTTGAATTGGAGTCGAGAATCTTCGAGCACACTTCCGGCACTGGCTCCCCGGTGGCACTGAAGACTCAAAGGTCCATCACGGATCGAATTGCCCTCTGCGAAGTACAGTACTCCCATGGTGTATTGCATGAAAGACTATAAGTAGGGATTCCGTTGTTCGTATGTAGCCCGGTAAAGCCATGGACTCCACTTATCCTCTCGTCCCCGTAGTGAACTTCATTGCGTTCTTCCTCGCCTTCCTTGTGATGGTGACGAGCCACCTCCGGCAGTCATGGCGTCTAGGTGTTTGCGTCTTCTCGGCCTGGATATCTATACTGGCATTGGCGACTGGCATCGAGACCATACTCTGGAGAGACAGCGCAGATACGACGTTGGCGCCGGCACTGTGCGACTTGGGTACGTTTCTGACTTACACGCCGTGAGCTATGTCACTGATGGTGTACCTAGTCACGCGTATACAAGTTGGCACATTATGGTCCCAACCCGCTTGTGCTCTCATCATCATTCGTTGCTTATATAGGACTGTACGCTACCGGGCAATAGACTCCGGCAATACAGGGGAGGTATGTGCTGCGCCGGGCTCATCTTCTCGTGAAAGATCCTAACTCGTGCCGGAATCCAGCGTCGACGTGAATTGATGCTCAACTTGTTTCTCCTCATCGGATTGCCATCCTTGTCTATGGCACTATGTAAGTCACAGAAGGACTTCATTCAAGAGCTTGTACAGCATTGATATTGACATATACCTTCAGACTATGTCGTACAGAACTCTCGGTTCCAGGTTATCGAGCAACTCGGATGCGGGTTCGCTTTACCGTCGACGGGAATGACTATAGTCTTGATAAACGGGATCCCGCTGGTATTCTTTGCCATTTCTGCTTCGTACATGGGTGAGCATCGAGTACAGAGACCCAGCCGTGCACCAATGATGACCTAATGATGTCTACAGCTGCCACGATCGCTGTCCTGTGGAAGCACAAGCGCAACATGGATCGTCTCTTCGGAGGCCAGATCGCCATCCCGCGCTCGCTTTACGTGCGAATCTTCACGCTCGGAGTGATCCTATTGATGACTTCCGCTCTGGCCTTCGTGAACTGCTTTCCGGCCCCAACCGAGTTCTATGCCGGTTGGTCTGCCGTGCATGGCAATTGGACCCCCGTGGCAGTGACAGCATCTGAGTGGCAAGCTCAAGGCACTTTCGTGATTTTCACCGTGATTTGGAATGAGTGGATCAACGTCTGGCTCGCAGTGGCCCTATTCGGTCTCTTCGGTCTCACGCGCGACACGAGGGCGATGTATGTGCAGGCCATCAAGGCAGTCATCAGCTTGCCCAGAAGGACGTTGCAGTCGTTGAAGCGGACTCAGTCTGGGGTACTGCCAGTCTCATTACCCTCATCCACGGAGAAGTCGAGTATGAAAAGCATAGCAGCCATGAGGTGCGTCCACCCGTCGTAAAAATCCGGGTCCTCTCGGGCGCAGCTGGATATTAATAATGTGCGAAGGACCATGGCGCCTTCTGCATTGCGCTCACCAGCACCATCACCGCTCAACATACGCTCCGCTAATACCGATGGTCTCGCTATTGAGGTCGCGATATCGGTAGAGTGTTGCTCAGACCGAGAGCTCGAGGATTTGGCGGGTTCAGAACTGAAGGTAGCGAAGGAGGGTGCAGAATGGAGCGAGGTGTGATGGTGATTCTCGAGACGAGACGGTCAGCCCTTGTCATTAGCGGTCATAGAAAGTATGCTTCATTCGTGACGTGGGAGGAGAAAGAATGGAGTCTAGCATCAATGGTAGAGCGCGTTCATCCGGTCTAGATACCAAAAACCTCGTAATGGAACTGCTGCTCGTGAACGCGACTTGAGGAGTAGTTTGAGGGCCTGAGTCCTCGCGTGAGCAGCAGACGGGCGCGCCGGTACGCGAAATATGCCGCCTACGCATGAGTTTGGCGCGAGAAGATGGGGTTGCTAACGCCGTGATGGGCGAAGCCAAGCCGAGCGTCAGCAGTCCGCAACGCGTCGCATCACGCGTGATGTTCGATGTGACCTACGTGCTCCCTTTGACGAAGCGTGACACAACGGTCAGGACCACCGAACCACCACGAAAGCACCAGGCGGGTCCCTCCTCGCGTTTATACCATCAAGCTTATGGATCTTTAGCTATGAGCACGATGAGGTTTCCGAGTATTCTCTCTCCTTTCGAGGAGCTCGTTAGGTGCGTCAGCCTGCGCCACTGAAGACGGACGCGACCGAGTTAACGCACGTCTTCAGCGACGAGACGCAGAATCTGGCGTCCACCAGAGACGAACAGATTACGAATGAGGCGTATCGTCCATTGGGCGAGGCAGAGGTCTCACCGGCCGAGATATCAGTCGTTACTCCTGCGACCACCAGTGCCCTCGCTGCCAGATCGCCACCGGGTTCGCCTGGTCATGCACTGCAGAGGAACCAAGCGCGGCACCTTCTTCTATGCGCCCTCGAAAGGGAGGATAGGAACATGAGTCTTCCAATTGCTCGTCTCCCTACCGAGGTCATGCGTTACATCTTTCAGTCTGACGCGGACGACCATCGGATGAGCCCTGGCGAGCGACTTGAGGTCGATAAGACTTGGCTCAGATTGGGAAATGTGTGCCGGCTTTGGCGTCGCATTGTCTTTTCAATGCCAGAGATATGGGCGGACGACCTCTTCGCCTTCGGCAAGGATCGGTGGATGCGCGCCCTACCCTTAACGAAAGGTGCTCCTCTCGATGTGGACCTTTTGTGGGGCTGCTCTTTGAAGGATGTAGGCTCAGATCAGGATGCGCTTTCCATCGTCTCGCGGGCCTGGAGGATCAGCACCAGCAAGTCCGGAGAGGAGGACGTGCGCATCATTGTCGACGCAGTGTGCTCCACGTCCTTGCCGCTTTTTCAGACTTTGACACTGAATAACCCTCGGAACGAGGAAGGTGGGCCTCCGACCACGGCGCAGATGGCAGAGCACCCGCGTCTGCAACTCCTCTCGTTGACCAACATTTACCTCGCCCCTTCCGTTCATGGCAGGCTGAGCACCTTGAAAGTCAATTTGTCGGGTATAAAGGACTACCTGAAGCCGTCTCTGGACGCAGTTCTCCAACTGCTATTGGGTAACACCCAGCTTTGTACTTTGGAGCTTCGACACTGTTACCCCGCTGTCCGCCCGGGCCCAGGTCTTACGGCCCCGCGCGTTGCATTCCCTTTCCTGTCGACATTCCATCTCGAGTACGCGTTCGTCGACAATTCTGCCGAGATCTTCAATTATCTCTGGTTACCCAACCTTCGATACGCGAAAGTTCACGCGCAATTCCTTGATTTAAACTCGACCTTGGACGTTACTAGGCGTCTACTGGCATTCTCCAACTCACGTAGCCTTTTCATCACGGCGCCAGGGCCACCATACCATTGGGCAAAGCTGCGTCGATGGGGTAAGTTCAACCTCGAGCCTTTGGCAGTTGAGTTGGGTATTTGCCTGGCTGTGAAATCATCTTCCCGCACGTTGGAGCGTCCAGCGACATTCGTAATTGAACAGTACTAGAGAGCGTGCAAGTGACCGATAAGTGAGTACGTCTGGACATGTTGTCGTCATTGGACTAATTGTAACATAGATCGCTAAGAGCACGTCTCTCATGCCCGCTGAAACCTTATGCTGTCGGAAATTGCTTTTGAAATACTGGGCCACGAGATGGCGGTTGGATCAGCGGAAACGTCTGTATACACTGTCCCACCCTTGTATGCCGACCATTAGGACGATTGCCTCTAGACGCATCACAACTGTCCTGTTCTCTTCTCCACCGGTTTACAGTCTTATGCCGCTTTCGGACTCTCCTTGAGCCGTGCAGCAAGATCTCCATGATTGCACGAGAAACGTCATGGCCCTCCAGTGAATACTTGCAGAACTTGCCAGAACCCGCAGCTGCCGACGCCAGGAAGAGTGGCCGGATCTAGTTGATGGTGTTAAGCTTCGCATTGGCGTAAGTCTACTGTCCTTCGCAATAGTTCATATACCTGTCCAGGTCCTCCAGATCATGGAGTGTCTGTATGTGTAATATCGCCTGTAGTAAAGTCGTGGTGGTGGTAACTTAGATGGAAGCGGAAACGCGGGGAAGTGAACGGAAGCATCCCGAGGCCGATTGATCCGCTCTATGCACTCTCGGACCGAAAAGGCCGGACAGCTGAGCAGCGTGCTACGGCCCCATGACCTGCTTAAACGCCTGCCTGTACGAGAGATTTGGAGCTGGCTGTGGCGTCGTCAGAACGACTACGACGATGAGGGTGTGTTGCCAGCCCGTCCCCGTAGAGCCTGCTCATCTTCACGAAAAGCGAAGACGTGCATGCCACCGGCAGAGAGATTTGTCTCCGCCTATCTTCATCTGGCGGCCGGTGCCGGGCTTACGATAAAAAATTCGACGAGGTTCTCTCCCGGCTGCTTTGGGCGGTCACGAAGGTGCTCGACCATCCGATACCCTCCAGCTTCTGACGGATTCCGGCGCCTCTTGTGATATTCTCTGTCAAGTGATCTCGCCTGGCCAAGATCCCGAACCCAATAAAGAGGTGCAGCCTGCTTCGCGAAGATCGTGTGGATTTGAACCTTACGCCCTCTCGCCATGACCTCCTCCGACGCGAAGAAGGAGCGCCCAGAGACGTCCAAGATTGAGGATATCGCCGATAACCTCGCCGCGGGCGAGATCTCGGAGCTCGTGGTCGTCGCGGAAGGCGAAGAGCGCACGACGTGGTTCGTCTGGCTCCTGGTCTTCTGCAGCAGCATCTCCGGTCTTCTCTTCGGTGCGTTGGGCGCCTCCTCGTGTCTGGAAGTGACTGCTCACCAGCCCCTATAGGTTATGATACGGGCGTCATCTCTGGCGCGCTGGTCACGATTGGGAATGACCTAAATGCGAACGGCCTCGACAATGGGCAGAAGGTGCGCGTTTGAACCAGATAGCTCACTCGCGTGTACTGACTTCCTATCTAGGAACTGATTACATCGGCCACTACCTTGGGCGCTCTCCTCGGCAGTATCGGTGCAGGAACTCTGTCTGACTACATCGGTCGTCGACCCGTACTTGCCATCGCAGATGTCCTCTTCATCGGCGGCGCAATCGGCCAGGCTGTCTCGAAGACTGTATGGGACATGATCGGCACGCGTTTCCTCATTGGATGGGGTGTCGGTGTTGCTGCTTGCGTCGCGCCGCTGTACATTCAGGAACTCTCGCCTACCCGCTTGCGTGGTCGTATGGTGGTCATCAACGTTGTGGCCATCACATTAGGACAGGTCATTGCATACGGTATCGACGCAGGCTTTACCAATGTCGGCGGAGGATGGCGCTGGATGGTCGGTCTCGGGACTGTACCGGCCGGTCTCCAGCTCATCTTCCTGTTCATGCTTCCCGAATCGCGTACGTCCATCAGCAGCACTTGATCACGCGGAAGGTTGACACATTCTTCTAGCACGCCTCATGATCAAATGGGGACAGCTCGACCGCGCACACAACATCGTCGGCAAGATCTACGCGCATGCTACCGAGGAGCAAGTTGCGCTTAAGGTGCAGGTGCTACAAGCTGCTGTACGTCAGAGCATCGAGATTGCGCGAACGACCACTATCTGGCAACGGTTGCGGATGCTCTTCTTCAAACCGGTCAACCGTCGGGCTCTCAGTACGTGTCATACATGTATCGCGTCATAGCTCGCCGTGCTCATTCACCGCCAGTCGTCGCATGCGGCATGCAGGCCTTCCAACAACTTTGCGGGTTCAACACTCTCATGTACTACTCCGCAACCCTCTTTAAGCAGATTGGTTTTGATCAACCTACCGCCGTCGGACTGATCGTATCAGGGACCAACTTCATCTTCACGCTCGTGGCGCTGAAGTACATCGACATTATCGGCCGGCGCACCATCATGCTTATCTCCGCGCCGGGTATGATCTTTGGCTTGACTCTTGCTAGCATTGCTTTCCATTGTACGTATAGATGCCATGCATCGCCTTCTGGAGATGAGCTGACCAACGTCGCTTTAGACCTTACTAAGAAGACAGGCGGAGTGCTCGTAGACGGCACTGAATACCCCCATAATTGGTCTGGCCTTGTACTCTTCTCCATGATCGCTTTCGTCGCTTCCTACGCTTTGGGCCTGGGTAACGTCCCATGGCAGCAGGGCGAGTTCTTCGCTCTTGAAGGTATGCCGCGCCAGCCCTGCTCCTCCGTATCCGCATCTGACGCACATCCCAGTCCGCGGTATCGGCACATCGCTCGCCACCATGACGAACTGGGCCGCCAACCTCCTCATCAACTCAACCTACCTCTCCCTCATGGCGAAGATCACACCAGCGGGCGCCTTCGGCTTCTATGCAGGCCTGTGCCTCCTCGGCCTTCTCTTCGTGATATTCTGCTTCCCTGAAACGGCCGGATTGTCGTTGGAAGAGGTGATGATGGTGTTCCGCACCGGCTTCGGCGTTCGGGAGAGCCAGAGGTTGCGCAAGCAGCGGATGGGCGCGAAGACGCGTCGTGATGGTGCGGCACCGGAGGCTGCTGCTGGCGACGAGAAGGCGCCGGATGAGAGCAGCGATGAGGTTCATGTGTAATGTTTGGATTTCCTATGTTGTCTGACATGTATAATCACGATCTACTACGTACTGGATGGGATATTGATGACTTGTATACAAGCTCTATGTGGTCTGAGCCGAAGGAATCTCGAAATAAACGCGATCGGTCACAAATATCAACCGCGTCCATCACGCGTTACACCCCGGAGGCCGAGGCGACTGAGACAGTCACGCCTCGCTGTCTCACCATAACCACAACCATGCCGACACCCTACGAGCTTGACCGCGAAAAGAGGATCGCGGCGAACAAAGCTCTTCTTGCTGGTCTTCATATCCAGGAAGCCAAGAGGCAAGTCTTCGGCGACCAGCCCAAGCCTGCGAAATCCGCACCCGCTCCCAAGAAGTCCAAGGTGCGCAAGCGCAAGACTCCTCCGCCGTCGGATAGCGCGGACACGGATGGTGAAGAGGCGAAACCGGTTGTGAAGGCTGTCCGCGTGGATGAGAGCGGGCTGAGGAGGAGCTCGAGAAATGCGGGGAAGAGTGTGGATTATACCAAGGAGAAGGTCGGGGACCCGGTGCAGACCGTGGTGCGCCACAAGGGAGAGGGCATCGACAGGGAACCGAGCAAGATGTCCAAGCGTGTGCATAACCCGTATGTGAATATCATGGTCTACCTGGAACTCTGGCTGATGCTTTCTATAGCAAGACGTTCGGTTCTATACCGGGAGTGCAGGTCGGTGACTGGTGGCAGACAAGGTATGGCTTTCCCGAACGGAAGCAGAGTCAAAATTTCTGACTGTTCTCGCAGGGAAGACTGCAGCGTGGCTGCTATACATGCGTGCGTATATCTGTATTCGGTAGTGGGCGCTACTGAACTTCTCACAGACCGTGGGTGGCCGGGATCGCCGGAGGACCCAAGGGCGCCTATTCCCTCGCCCTTTCGGGCGGGTACGAGGACGACGTTGATCTTGGAGAGGGATTGTGAGTTCTCATTTCTCATTCCGCATAGTACATGTATTGATGGAGATGATAGTACCTACACTGGTGCTGGTATGTCACCATCGCTACTGTCTTGAAGCTGGGCTGACGTTGTAAAGGCGGTCGCGATCTGAAGGGTACAAAGAAGAACCCGAAGAACGTACGTGCAAGGGTATCTTCGTTGCTCTGTTTCTAGGCTGACCGTACCCTGGATAGCTTCGTACTGCTCCCCAGAGCTGTGACCAGACATTCGAGAACAATAACAACAAATCCCTCCGTGTAAGTTCGCACGCCTACCATCCACGTATCTGCGCTCATAGTCTCTCAGATCTCTTCGGAGACAAAGAAGCCCGTGCGCGTGATCCGCGGATACAAGCTACACTCTGAGTACGCGCCTGTTGAAGGCTACCGCTACGATGGTTTGTACACCGTCGAGAAGGTATGTTCCCTGTTCTGGGTTCTACACATAATATACTGACTCGCCACTACCTAGGCGTGGCAGGAGCCAGGAATGAACCCCGGAGGTTATTTGGTCTGCAAGTTCGCGCTCAAGCGCATTCCGGGTCAGCCGCCGCTTCCTACTCGTCCGTTAGCGTTGGACGAAGCTGGCGAAGACGGAGCTGAAGACGAGGACGAGAGTGAGGCCGGAGCTGAGGCTGACGAGGATGTGAAGGAGGAGGTGGCCGCTTCCGACGCCGAAGCTGTCGGCAATGTCGATGGCGAGACTGAGGCGAATGACGCCAAGCCTGCTCAGGATGAAGAGGCCGTCGGTACTGCGCCTAAGGACGAGGTCGAGGAGGCTTGAAACGTTCAAACTTCCGCACATTCGCCGGACCTGATACCAGTCGTACGCGGCCAAGAGACAGTTTCTCCCTCCCGATCTCACCCTTGTCTTGCTTTCATCATACTCCATCTATCCGCTATCATCCTCCTTGCTTTCTTGTGCATATCTTGCTTTGCTCTACATACTGCTTTCTTGACATCTGGTTGTATCTCGCTCTCATATATTCCATATAAAATACTGTTGTGTCTATATCGTGTGCTAACATCGGTGCGCGTATGGCCAGCGGCGCTTCGCTACTATAACATGACATGACCCCCGTCGACCGATATTGATTGCCCTACACCGTGGTCAGCGCCAGGCTGGATGATTTGACCGTTTCCCTGGCTCACCTGTGATGTGATGCGCTTCTTCAGAAGCGAGGTACGCCACTATGCTCGACACAACAGATGTATCCATGGCCGTCTTCATACCTGGACCCTTGGGTCGCTGAGGACATGGTTAGGTTGTATCAGCGGCACGAGCAGGATAAAACTCACCGTCATAGTGCCCTTATCCATCATACTGGCAGCGTTCCTTCCTATTCAAATGCTGAGCCAAGACACAGTGAACGTTATGACAAAGGCATACCGATACCGGGCGTATCCTATCAGGCGTTCATTCAGTTGGGTGGCAAAGAAAGCAGCGTAATCGACGTACAATGAGGCCCGGTGCGTAGGTGTTGACAGTGATCTTGTGGCGCCGCAATTCCATAGCTAAAGTAGACTTGGAGTTAGTGTAAGTACGAGAGCAGACCGTGGTACGACGTACCAACGGATTGACTGAGCCCGCGAATGGCGAACTTGCTGGAGCTGTACGCTGACAGCCCGGGTACGCCAAGCTTCCCGGCTCCTGAGCTAGCACCTTCGAACACGGGTGTCAGCCTGAGAAGCATAATTTTAGGCGGCGAAAGAGTACACACCTATCAGTCTGCCACCCCAGCCTTGCTTGATCATCTGCCGAGCAGCATGCTTATAACAGAGCGCGACGGCGCGTACGTTGAGGGCATATACACGGTCAAAGGCCTCCGGGTCCACTGTGACACAGCGTAAGTGAGATCATTACACAGAGCCAGTCAAGAGACGTACTGTCAACAATGAGAGATACATGGCCAATTCCGGCGTTAGCGACCATCTGTCGTTCATGGTCAGACTATATCTTCGACACTATGGAGATGCACGCACCACGTCCACTCGACCGAGCGCTTCTACTGTCTTCGCCACGAGCTTCTCCACCTCCGCCTCGACAGTCACATCTCCAGTTATCGCAGCTCCACGAGCGCCATGGCTCCCCATCTCGCGCACAAGGCCCTCAAGATCCTCTTTACGGGCAGGCAAGTCGTTCACCGCGACATCATAGCCATCAACAGCCAGACGCAACGCAATGGCGCGTCCAATGCCCTGCGCACTACCGGTCACAATGGCCACACGGCGTCCAGCGGGTGCTTGTGAAGACATGAGAGCGAGAAGAGAGACCTGTCCAGCGAATAGCCGGCCGTCGACCGGAAGCACAGGGGTACCATTCACATGTCTACCTCGTATAGGCTCTCGCTACGCCGAAATACCCGAACGTCAGTCAGTCGGGATGTATATCAAGAGAGTGTCGTATGGCACGTTGTCACTCTACGAAGTAGACCCCATGGTGGCCAGTCTGAAATCGTCCTTCCTCATCGCGCGTCGCGTCGAGGACGCGGTAGAACGCGATCACATGCGTTGTTCATATTGACTGGATCAATTATGCGAGAAGCGCGCGCGGCGTCCTCAAAGATTCAGACTAGATGAAGCACAATATCTCTCCTTGATCTATCATACAAGAGCCATACATCATAGGCAACGCGTCATTCCACAGTCCGAATATGAGTAGGGGCGATAAGGAACCAGTACAAGTGCGGCGTGTGTATAACAGATTCAAAGCACGATGACAGCAGGATCATTGGTCGTCGCCACGGCGGCGATGCTGCTGTGATGGCCGCTCAGAGGCTTACCCCAAGCGACCGAGCCTCCCTGGGTCCTAGGGGTGACATAGCTCTTCTCGACGAAGCGCTCGCGACCCTCTCCAATAGGGTCTTCAACACCTTCCTTGAGCTCGATGTTGGCATCGGCGTTGGTGGTGTGCGCCGCGAACCGGCCTTCAAAGGCTGAATCGAGCCCTAAGAGGGCCGGAGCGTTCTTCGTCTTGGCCTCCACGCGCACATAGCCGTTAATCGGGCTCTCGGCGAGCGTGACGTTGACGGGCGAGTTGTAGGTCTGGGCGAAGACGCGGAAGATACCAATCTGCGTGGTGTTCTTCAGGGCGAGAGTCGCGTTCAAGTTACTAGAAGTTGCACTCGGTGATAATAGAACGGCAAAGAAAGAGAAGAGACGTACGCATTGGAAGTAGCCAAACGAAGAGTCGACGGCCAGTGGTGGCTTGTGTGGTATGCCTCGACATCGACGTCGATCGGAGCATTGCTCGTCACAAGCTTCAAGTTGGAGCTGACGTTGAAGAAACCCGTGATGGGGCTGTTGGCAGTCTGCACGGATACATCTCCTACAGCGCTACCAGACTGGTCCGAGTTAGAACACCTCTCCATTAGAATGTAGAGGTAACTGCCTACCTGGAAGTGTACGGGCCGGTCCGTGACGATGTCAAGCGAGCCAAGATTGACGCCTGGGTACACATCGTGAAGGAAGCCCGGCAGCTTCGTCTTGAGTTCTGAGCTCAAGCCCTCTTGAGGGACGGTGACACGTATTCCGATGCCGAACATGGGGTCCGCGGAGAGGCGACGATGAGACCAAAGGGCCTGTACATAGCAACCTGTAAGCATTAAGACTCAAAATGTTCATATCAGACAGAGCTTACTCCAAGCACTACACCAGCTTGATCGCCGGCCCGCACGTCGCAGACGCGAAGCATCTTCAAGGTCACAGGGTCGGAGTAGGTGACATGCACGTCGATTGACAAATTGCTGGTCTCATTGGAAGAGGCCGAGACGAAAGCGATGTTACCGAGGTTGCCGTTGGCAGGCGCATGAAGATTGATGTCTCCGACGGCCTCAATGATGTTCCCGAAAGACGACGATGTGAACTCGAAGTCGACTTGAGCCGAGTAGACATCATGGGTGCCGTGACCGGTGAAAGGACCTTCGGTCTTCCAAGCCTGGGGACGGTCGACGCACTGGGCAGCCGCTCCGTCATCAGACCAGCTGGAGGCGCCCGTGATGAGCGTTGGGAACTCAATTGCAGACCGCTGACAAAGCGCTGTGAGCCAAAATCCTTTGACTATTGTAGAAGAGCGTACCCCGCATCCATGGCGTCCAAATTCAACCTTCTTATGGTCGGAGCTGCCGCGAGAGAAGTGCCTGAAGACAAACCAAAGGCCCGAGAAGATGATGAAGAAGTGTGCGATACGCCGGACCTTGCGGCGACGATTGAACTTGGCCGTCTCAGCGTCTGCTTGAACGGGCGCAGGAAGCGAAGGCTCGGGCATCGCAGCCTTCTCGTTTCCGAAGCCAGTGTCCGCAGGAGGGGTCTGATTGGGGGCCATGACGGGCAGATACAAGGTGCGGATACTGGTGCAGCGCGCGCTGTGCGCCTACGAGGCGTGTACATATCCACGAGCGCCTAAAGTAGCGCCGAAAGGACGCGTCATATGTCGTGCACAGCTACTGCCGGCGGCAAACGCGGGAGCGCAGCGATCCAGTGAGAGATCGAGGTTCGGCCTGGCCTCTCGACTGTGGTGACACTCCAGGAGAGACACACAATGAAAGTTGGTTGATGTGCGCCAGACCTGGTAGGTCGCGGTACAGTATTGTGATCATAGCGAGATGTCGCCGGAAGTCCGCTCGAAGAATGAGCGTGAGGCCAGGGGGCTTCACGATCATGTTTTGAATCCATCTCAATGGTAGTTCAAGACAATGTATGTGGCCACAATCAGTACTGAGGCGATCTTGCATTTGTCTACCACTCGCCAAAGCGTCAGCAAAGGAGCCGGCGGCCGGCGCAGCCCTCCGTCACGTCTCCCATTTTCGACCTCGACAAGACTCAGAGACAAGGGTCATGTTGGACGGACGATCTCTTCCCTGGGGCAGCTGAGTCGGTTCTGAAGTGGGCAGCTCGGCAGTTGAATATTTTGAATAGCCTCCGTTGCGAAACGACGGCCGGGCGACGTGAGCGTACGCGGCAAGAAAAAGCAAGCCGGCTTCGTCGGGCCGAGTGCTCAACGCGTCTGGTCACGCGTGACGGGTCGCGTTCGCCCCAGTCTGGGTCTACTCGTGCCGATGATGGCTTCTCCGTTTGAGGAGGTCAAGCTGACCGCAAGCCGTGCTCGAGAAGTAAAATATGGACTACATATGCCTGAACAGGACAACTAAAACGGTACGAACTCAAATTACACATTTTGGTAGAATTGCGGCGATGATGAAAGAATCGTGTACGCGCTCCGATACATCATGACCGCTGAAATACAAGTAACACCCCATTGTTCTGACTCTGGCATTTTACGATTGTCCCTTTGCGGCCCCAAGTCCGTGCCGCCTCCTGAAGCTCCTGAATGGGTCTCTGCCACTGCTTCTGTTTGCCCGTTAGGGCAATACTTTGGGTGTGAAAGCCGCGTGCAGCTCGCGTCCGGAGGGCGTCTTGAAACTCCGAGGCTTGCCACACCTTCTGACGCTGAAATTGGGCGGATACCTCTCCGTCCAACTCGATGTGCTCTACTCTGAGCTCCTTCAGTCGAGGGGGAGACCCAACGATCCGGTCTGGCGGCCTCAGTCCGAGCAGCTTGAAGGGGAGGAGCGTCGCGCCGTCCGGATGCGAGTCGAGAAAGAGCACGATGCGAGCTGGACGACTCAACGCCACCTGTAAGTCTTGTTTATAGATGGGGAGACCCAGAAGTATACGCCGACAGTCGTCTTGGTCCTCCCAAGGTGGATGGTATGGTAGTGTAGCTTCAAGTGAAGCCCATGTCAATACGTTGACGACGGATAGACTATCCAGAGGAAGGGCATGCGGTTGATTGCCCAAAGTTACAATCGGGGCCAAGGTTTGGCACATGCAAACGAAGAGGTGCATTGCGATTGGACAGGAGGACAGGTTTGCGCCTGGGAGACCTCCGGGGGAGGGGTATAGATGTATGGTCAATGGCGCAGGCATGCCGTCATAGCAGGAGCCCAGTGCGCGACGAGTGCGCAAGACGAGCCCACCATTCCGGGTATCGCTACTGACAGTATACTGCTGCGTTTCGCGGATACACGGAGAAGAGGAGACGAGTGCGCTCGCAATGGCCTCGAGATGCTCAGCCAGACGTCGTAGCGGGTCCGGGATTTCTGCCCTGCTCCCTGCATATTCGACTGGTTCTGATAGTATAGCGCACTCGACCATCGGGAGCCGTAGGTACCTCACGAGCGACACCGAAGGATCCGCTTTTTGCATCCATGCTGGCCTTGGGGTGCCGATAAGCTCAAAGTCTCTGACCCGAGGCAGGACCACCACGCTGAGATGGTCTGCATCGACCGACGCATCACATTGAATCCAGTCGGCGATTCGCAGAGTCGTGAGTGACTGAGCGCCTCGTAGGAGATCGAGTAAGCAGGCAAGGCCGCCGGCGCCCGACGCGCTGAGATCTGTCAAGGTGCAGATCATCATGCGCGTGGACGGGAGCATGCACAGGGCAGTCTCGACAACGTCCGGAAACGCGCTGGGTGGCAGCGCGACGTAGCGTCCCACAGCGCACACAGCGTCGCGCCAAGTGCGGTTGACTAGCATCAACCTGCGCCACTGCGGCGGCCAGCCACGGTGCGTGAAGGTGATATCTTCTAGCGCTTCGAGGATGTGTTGAACGAAGTCGCAGTTGGACATTGCCACGGATGAGCCGTGCAATCCTCGACCGCTCCGCAGCCACGTTCCCAGCGTCTGTCGCTCGTCACGGAGCATATCGGATGTTAGGAGCAGATGTGATAGGGCTGCCGCTAGGAGCTTGACCACTTCATCATCGAATATGCGGCTGTGGGAAAGGGCCTCCACAGACACGCGATCGGCGTGTACGAGCAAGTCCCTCATACCCACGAGATCCTCGGCCTGGAACCTATCACAACATCTTCAGCGGAAGATCCCAGCGCCCATCAATAATGAAACGTACCTCCTAAAACCCGTATCGTCCACTAGCCCCACCGGCACCGGGTCATCCATCTCGTTGTGAAAGGCGAGCCTCGCGGCAAGGACGTCTAGAACTGTGCCCAGCTCATTGTTGGGATCGATATGCTCGAGAAAGCTGAGAGCCTGTGCCCAGTCTTTCCGCCAAAGCATACCGGGCATACGGTAGGAAAGCTCGTTGACAGAGCGGGCGATGTCGACACATTGGCCGAGTTGCTCGTACGTCAAGCTGCAGAGATCTCAGTACAAGGTAGTGAGAATAAGGTATGGAGCAACATACCTGACGGCCAGGATAGGTTGAGAGTAGGCCTCATTCATGAGAGCTAGAGGGCGACGATGTGAAGATCATGGCGATAGACAGGCCTCGCATCCTAGGGTATATATCGCCGCTTCGTGGTATGAAGAGCTGTAGGCCTTCCTAATCGGTCACAGATACTGTAGGCGCAGAACGTGTGCGTCCGAGAAGATCGAAGTGCCGAGCGCCTGTCGGAACTTCGTCTACAGGTGACCTATCCTACAGAACATGCATGCTTCGCAAGGCGCGGGACGCCTGAATGACAGCGAGCGCCGAAAGTTGATCGAGAAGAAGATCGCACCCTAACCCTGCATTGTGATGAAGAAAGTGATATCTGGTGAGGGACAAGGAGACGTAGTATACAGATGTCCAGAGCGCAAGCAACGACAGCAAGAAGGAAACAACAAACAAAGCAAATGATACCTGACAGACACAAACATACGGGGAAGGGTCAAATACAGCCTATCACTGCGCCTGCGCCTCCTGCACGGATTGTCAGCTTCGAAAAACCTGTTGTGAATGTGCTTGCAAACGCACCTGGTCCACAAACTCCATAGCCTCCGCCTGCTGGATCGTCCGAATAGTGCTGACCTTCTGGTTGTTGAACAGTACACCGTAGAACTTGTTGGCGTTAACGAGCATCTCCGGCCTGAACGTCGTCGTGATGAACTGCGCCGACTCGGATAGCTCGTGGATCATTGCTACGCGGGCGTCTGCATCAGTACCATCCTGAATGAAAGAGGAAGAAGCGAGGAAGACGTACCTGCAACGGCTGTACGATATTGCGCGTCCAAGTTCGCGTCGATCTCATCGAAGAGATAGAATGGCGCCGGGTCACACTTCTGGATCGCGAACACCAGCGCGAGCGCTACCAGGGACTTTTGTCCGCCTGACAGCTGCTGTATCCTCAGGCCTTCGTCAACCTTCGAGTTGAACGAGACCTTGATCGCGACGCCCGTATAGTTATCGACCGTGCTCTGCTGCGTATCGCCTTCCTCCTCCGCAACCGCATCCTGATCAATCCTCCGCTGAATAATCAATTTCCCCCGTCCCGCCGGCACGAGCTTTTCAAACACCTCCTCGAAGTTCCTCGCCACCTGCTTGAACGTCCTCTCGATCGCCTCGTCCTTCCTCTGATCGAGGTTCTCCACAAGCTCGTTGATGCTCTCCGCGCTCTTGTCCAGCTCGTCGCGGCGCTCGATCAGCTGGTCGCGTTGAGTTGTGAAGTTGTTGTATTGCTCGAATGCTTTTTTGTTCACGTGTGCGAATTTCTTGAGGGATTCTTTCACGGCGTGTAACTTCTTCACCAGCTATTCGAATAATCATCAGCGTCGTTATCGATGAGAAGATGTAATGCGGAGAAAGACATACTCGGTCCATCTTCTCCTTCGTATACTTCTCGAACGCCTCCTCGGGCAACACGCCCAGATCGCGGATGTTCCTGTTACACTCGTCCTTCCTTCCGAGCAACAAGTTACGCTTGGCCATGTACCGCTCGGTGTTCTTCTGCTGCTTCGAGATGGAGCTGCTGTCCTCGCTCTGTTGTGTCTGCACAGCTTGTAGTTGGTCTCGGAGCTCGCGGAGCTCCTTCGTTGCGGCGTCGATCTCCTTCTCGTTATCTAGTGAGACGTTGTCAGTGGCGGAGGAAGGTTGGCTTGGTGAAGGGAGGGAGCCTTACCGCGTATACGCTTCGAGAGGCTCTCGATCGACGCGTTGAGAGTCTGCAGCTTGCGCGTGTGGAACTCTAGGTCTTCGCCAGCTGTAGCGTCGCCCGCTTCGGGTTCGCCGAGCGCTTCGATCTTTGTTCTGAGCTCGTCGCGCTTGCGTCGGAGGTTCTCGTTGATGTCGACTTGAATCAGGTTCTTCCTGCCCCCGAGCTACGACGGAGAGTATAAGCGTGAATTGGCAAAGAAAGCGTGAGGGCGATGTACCTGGTTCTTCGCCTGATTCATTTCAATCAACTCACTCTGCATCTCCTCGAGCTCCTTCTGCATCTCCTCAATCTTCTCCTCCTCCTCTGCACTAAGCCCCTGCGCCATAGGCGCAGCCAACTCCTGCCTCTGCACCTCCAACCTCGCCTGTATCCCTTCAATCTCGCCCTCAAGCTTGACGATATCCTCCTGATACCTCCCAATCCTCTCCTCGATCCTCTCCTTCTCCCTCAACAGCCCCTCGACTTCACCAGCGACCGAATCGCGGGTCGCGCGAGCGGCCATTTGTTGGTTCGTGAGTACTTGGATTTGACCGGATAGCTGGGTGATGCTCTGCTCGAGTCGGTCGTTCGTGCGTTTGACTTCGGCGTATCGGGCATCTTCCTCGTCGAACTTCTTTCGCCAGGACGCTACGCTCCTCACACCTTCGATCCTGCTTCTTCGCACGTCGTGGTAGCCACCGGTAAGCGCGCCCTTACGGTCGACCTTGTCGCCGTCGAGAGTGATGGTGTTGATGTTGTGGCTCTTGACATATGCTGCTGCGACGGTCAAATCCTTGCAAACGCACGTCTTGCCGAAGACTTGCTGGAACGCTCTAGCGTGCGCGGGGTCATATCGCAGCTTGTCGAGGAGCGGGATAGCGTCTTGAGCGTTCGGGAGGGGAGGGTTCTTCGGGTGTAGGCGGTTGAGGGGCATGAACGTGACGCGGCCAGTGCGCTCTTTGAGCATTATGTCGAGGACCTTGGAGGCTGTTGCATCGGTGTCGACTACCACGTGGAAGAGGCTAAGACCACGGATCAGTATGAAGCGCAGAAGAGCAGGATGAGCGGACCTTACCTGTTGCCGGCCGTGAGCTCGACGGCAGTATTATACCTCGGATCCGACACCTCGAACAACCTATAGAGCGGCCCATACACGCCCTCCAGCCCCAACCTCTGCTTGATCGAGTCGACCGCCCTCAAGCCCATGCCGGTATCCTTGTCCATCATTCCCGCCAACGCCCGCTCAGAGCTCTTGAGCTCATCCGCCGCATGACTCTTGGCAGCGTTGACTTTCGCGTCTTCGCGCCACAACTCCTTGCGCTGCTCTGTCTGTTTGGCACGCTCGTCGTTCAGCTTGGCGAGCTGCTCGCCGAGTTTCTGAACTTGGACTCTGCTCTCCTTCGCGCGTTCGTCCAGCTGGGTCAACCGGGCGTCTATATCGCCACGTGCAGACTCAGCGCGCTGGAGAGCCGTGCGCGCGCCGTCGAGCGCAGACTGCTGAGCCGTGCGATGTGCCTCGAGAGATGCAATATCTCCGCGTAAGAACGCGTCGCGCTCGGCTTTGGTCCTGTATCGTGCCTGTCTTCCTCTTTTGGCGAACAATGCGTTGAGCCTGGCGCGCGTGGTGTCAATTGCCTTGCGCTGCTCTGCCTCCCTCTCGCGCTGTTCATCCCATTGCGGCATCAACTCCGCCAACTCCTGCTCCTTCCCACGGATCTGCCTCTCGATATCATCGAGTTCGGCCTCGTACTCGGCCCGCTTGCCGCCCGCCCGTTGGTCGGCTGCGCGCAGGTCGTCGACGCGCAGTTCGAGTTCTTTACGTTGTCGCATGAGGTCGTTCAGCTCGTCCTGCGCGCCTTGGCGGGTTAGGGTTGCGGTCGATTGCTTGTGCTTGGCTTCAGATATCCGTTTCTCGATGTCCTATCAAGCTCGTCAATATATAGACAGAAACAAGGAATAAGAGAATAAACGCACATGGATATTCTGCTCGCGCCCACTAAACCTCTCCCTCCTCTCGTTCGCATTGTGCACCTCCGTCGCCCTCTCCTCTTCCAGATCCTCCAACGCCTCCGTAACGTCCTCCAGCTCCCTCTGATACAGCGCATACTCCAGACACCGCCGGTCCTTGTCCTTCTCCTGGTATTCCTTCAACTCTTCCTTCTCTTCTTCGAGCTCCTCCATGCGCGTATTGATGTAGTCGAGAAGTTCGTTCACTTTGTTACGTTTGGCGTCGGTCTCTTCAATGATGCGCACGGATTCGGAGCGGCGGTCTTCGTATACTTTGGTTCCGGCTACCTCCTTCAATAGATGCAGCCGATCCCCGTCCTTCGCGTTCGTCAAGTTCGTGATCTACCATAGTCATGTCAGCACCGCCATCCCACTATACCAGACAGTAAAACGCACGCGGCCCTGAGGAACGATATAGTACGGATTCGCCTTGCTGAAGCCTGCGCTCTCAAGCAAGTTCATCACATCAGCGCGACTCGAGCTCTTCTTGTCCAGACTGTACTCGTCCTTCTTTACGCCGATCGTCCGACGCAGAATCACTTCTTCGCGACCAGTCGGGAATCGGTTGTCTGAGTTGTCGAAGATAATCTCGACTATCATATTAAACATGATCAGAGTCAAAGCAAGAAGCAAGAAGACAAGTAGAAGCACCGTAGGCGGACATGGTTTGAGCGACTGAGACGCCCTCGTGTAAGAGCGATTGGCGCTCTTCTTTGGTCATGGCCGTATATGCGTCCGAGAGTACAAACCGAATAGCTATTCAAATATTTCAGAGCGCTATAGAGCGTATATATAAGAGAACGCACCAGCGAAGAAGTTGCTCTTCCCGCTTCCGTTCCTGCCAACAACCACATTATGCTTTGGCGAGAATGGCTCGATATGCGTCTGGTCTCGATCTATTCTCAGAAACGTGAGCCTCCAGCGTGTTCAGTGGTATGCATTTTCACACGTACATGATTTGAAACCCTGGATGGTCAGGGTCTTGATGTACATGGTGGTCGCACAGGTGGCGGTCAGAGCGCAACTCGAACGCGTTCGAACAAGCGCGCGACGCGTTTCCAAACGCGCCCACGTGATCTTCGGTGATCTCGGAGATACCAAGTGCAGCTTTCTTCCGCTCGCGTTCCTCCTCCATACGCCACCACCACTTCATCGGCCGGAAAAACACAATGAATCCCTCGTTCCCGAGTATGATCCCTCTTGCGGACAGGTACGCTACGGTGCATATCTCTCATCTATGTATCTCACTCGTCCTGAACAGCGTTCTGGACGGCGAGATCAGTGAACCAACGCCGGAAGACTTCGCCAACCTCATCCGCGCATGCGCTCTTTCGGGAGCTGCACTTGACCCCACTACTCAGCTAGAGGTCGTTATGAATGCCGTCTCAGATATCCAAGCTTCTATGCGTTGGCTCAAACCCATATCTCGGACTCTCGAGCGCAGGTCCCAAATGCTTATTGCCCGAAAGCATTCGCATGAGAACAACGCCTTGCCTGTGTCACGCCTACCCGAGGAGATCCTCCGCATCATCTTCGAGTACGATGCAGAAACCGAGGATACCTGGAGCTCCTTCGAAGATTCGGGCTGGAGGCGGCGTCTAGGTTCAGTGTGTCGACGCTGGCGCACGGTCGTCTTTCAACACTCTACACTGTGGGCTAAAGACCTCTTCGCACTGGACAACGACAAGGCCATAGATATATTGCCCCTAACGAAGAACTCGCTACTCAATATGGACCTTCTGTATCCACGCAAGGTCAATTGGAAGGACCCGGATCATGCCTTGACTCGATCTATCCCTCGTGCTTGGAGACTTTCGCTCCCTATCGGATATATAGACGATCTTGAGGACCTCATGGAGTATATATTGTCTGCGACACCCCTCCCTCATCTTCGAACGCTTCGACTTTGCTGTGATGCCAACGACGAGGTTACGCCAACAAGGCATAGAACTATCGCGGATCATCCCAATCTGAGCTTTTTGCATCTCCGCAATCTCTACATGCGGCCACCCTTGCAGAGCGCGCTCACGACCCTCGAAATCGAGTTCGAGTGGGATGAAGACGAGCCTTGGGCAACGGAGCGACCTTCCCTGGGCGCAATTCTCGAAGCCCTATCGCAGAGCAAAGCCACGTTACAACATCTACGGTTACATAACTCGTTCATCCGCACGAATGGCGTCCCAGGAATAGCCCAGCGCATCTCCCTCCCTCGCTTGTTATCGCTCGATCTGGTACATGAAGCCGATTTATCTGCAAAGCTGATGGACTTCCTCTGGGTCCCATCTCTCGAAACGGCATCAATCTTATGGTGTAGAGGTGTCCACGTTGAGAACGGTGTGCGCACATACACGAGTATGTTGCATGCTTGGAGGATGCCTCTTCCAGACACTACAGACGGGTCCCTGCGCATGACGTTAAGCGATTATGCGCTGAGGGATATACGCGCTAGACCCCAGCTTTTCGAATTTGCGTTGGAGGAAATGAATAGGAGCTCGACAGGCGCACCTAGGCTATGCCGTTCAGAGATGACGAACGTTAGGTGGAATATGGGCCAATACGTCTTCACACGCGAAGTACTATGAGTATCCTGTCGTAGTCAACACAGTGCAATATATCGTCAGAGCTCGATACAACTAGAGCCTCTCGTACTAGTTACCCTAACATGACTCGCGCCCAACCATCCTTCACCCGGTGCAGTCCAGGTTTTCTCACCCCACATGACTTCCCCGGCCATCTCAGAGAGCCCAACCTCAGTCAAACGTAAGTTCCTCTTACGACCTTCCCCCGTCGGGTCCTCGGCGTTCCATCCGTCGCCTTCTTGAGACTCCAAAGATATATGCGCGCCCGTTCCTCTGCCTTCAAGAGGCTCGACTACCTGTGTATACAGATAGCCTTCGAACCTCCTGTCGAGCTTGACGTGGGCATCACCATCCTCCGCGTCTGCTTGTATCGTGACAGCCAAGTACGGATCGCTCTCGACAAGCGTTAGGTTGAGCGGCCCTTTTCTGGCGGATGCATGGATGCCAAACTTGTATCCCGGCCGTTCAGGTTCCGCATCTATGAGGCGCACTGTCGCGTTCAATGCACTAAACAGGAAGCGTCTGATGAGCAAGATGACGCGCTTCAATTGAGGTGTTAGAGCTTACGTTTCGTACGTCGTGAGCAGGATCGGCGGAGGGGTCTGGCCAATCTCACGCACAGCGTCGATGTGTACGTTCATCTCGCCACCGATACTGCCGGTGTGCATCCTGGCATTGCCATCAACGCGGAAATGACCGCTGACACTGCGAGTCTGTGCGTCGATCTTATGCGTCCTGAAGCCTTCCTGATACCAGGAAGCCATAGTCTCAGCATTCTCTCTATGATTGGATGAACACATGGTAACCTCACCTGTGCTACCAGGCGTCCACGTGTAGGAAACGGCGTATTCGCCCCACTCGCAAAGTTGAAGACTCGCAGAGCGTCAAGCACCATGTCGCCATCCACGTTCACATCGATGATGTCCCCAACATCCACTCTAACTTTGTACCCATCGTCCGCCTCCGGTATGGTCAACGTGATATTGAAGTACACGGCGGGCCCCTCAAAGCCCTGCTCGCGATCAGCGCCTTTGCGCTGGAGCCTGAATAAGTCGATTTCCTGCAGCTCCCCCGGAGCCGGCTCCGTCGGGATCTGTGCGATGCGCAATGCGAGTAGATCCTCGTAGGACATGAGTTCCTCCTCTTCCGTATTCGGGTATACCTCGCTCATGTCGTCGGGATTGGGCTGTTGCCTGAGCCACACGTCCCTTGTCAGGTCCGCGCGGTACGCGCAAGCGCTGACGGGAACCAACGCGCGCGCCTCGTTGGAGAAAGCATCGACGTTGATGACAGCGTGATCCACAGGACCCTTCACGATATGCAAGACCGCGTCGAGTCCGGATCTGCGGAAGCCAGTGTCGACGTAGACCGTCCGGACGCCCGGTCTGAGGTCAAGACGACCGTGCGCACCATATGCGCGGCCGGCGATGTCGCCGGGGATGGCGTTCCAGGCGATGTTGGCCCCGAGACAGATGCCTTCTTCGGGTACTGTGACTACGGCGCCGTGTTCGGAGAGGATGTCTGGTTGGAAGTCGATACCAACTGGCGTGGGGGTAAGGTCTTCCATGAGCTGAGCAGGCCGTGTGGGTACGTGAGAGGGAATTGATACGTCGAGGTGATGACGCGACGTCCAGAGTAGTACTAACGCGGCCGAGCAAGCGAAGCAGAAGAGGATGGATCTACGAAGAAGCCGGGGCCAAGGCCTCACTCGGATGGAGGTCGGCGAAGACTTGTCAGTCGGGCTATGGGTATCGTGTTTGGCTTTCCCGTGTCCCTTTTCGGTGGTAGGCGGGGGTGGATGTGACATGCTGGTGGTGGTGGCCGAAGAACAAGAGGATCTGTGACGGAAACCCCCCTCTATGCGCGCATCAAGAGATGTATAGAGATCGTAATGCCCCCGGCGTATACATGAGCCAGCTTGGCAGACTCATCGGCGTCCGCTATACCTGAGGCACTTGAACATATATGATTTGAGACCTAGACCACCTAAGAGGTGAAGACTGGTGGAGTGGCTATTGCACTAGATTTGCGCGTGTTCGCCTACTAGTACTACAAAGCGCTGGGAGTGTCGCCTTCAGGGCACTGTTTCACCGTGCCTTACGTCGATTTAGCAGCAGACCGAGATCAAGTGTCTAGTGATCGATCTATACGAAGGCAAGACATTGCGGGATGATAGCAGTGGTGGAAGTTGACCGTCAACAAACCGTCAATATCTAGTCCATCGACAGTGCGCATTCGGGCCGGGCGCGGCCCGACTGGTGCATCGTCATTCCAGTCGGTTCAGCTCGTGGCTTGTCTCGAGCCACGATGTCGACATGAACCCGCAGGAATGCTATCTTTTACAAGGGGCAAGAACGAATCAGAATGCACCTTCTGCTCAGACTTGCGTATTGCGACGCTCTTTTGTTCTTTCGCACCAAGCGGGTCCCCGTAGCAGCCTTTTCTCTCGTCGCGTCGAGGCGCGCATGGCGATCGCCTTTATTGTCTGTTCGAGCAGTTGTTGTTTTCGATGCCACCAGATGCCACCGCCGTCGTGCCTCGCCTTTACAAGAAGAAGAACGGGACTCTCTACTGCGTCTCTCACATGCATCTCTTCCCCATTACACCTAACGTTACCAGAATGTCTAATCCAGTGTTGGTCGATCCTGCAGCTGGGGTCGCACAATGTCCGGGCATAGTATCAGCGGCGGGCACATCTCCTTCCCCCGGAGCCAACAAGCTGCGCCTCTGCATCCTCGCGCTTCTGCGATACGTCAAACCCTGGGCCGATCGGCGAAAGTATGTCAGGATTCTCTCGTGCGTTCAGCACTTGTGCCTTTTTCGACCACTAGCTTACCTCTAACGATATAGGTTGAGGAAGCTGCGCGCTAGGATTCATATGCTCTTTGATGCCGACTGTGCTACATCGTCTGCGCTCAACTCCCGCTGTCCCAAGGCCCTGCAGCAGGCCTACACGCGGCTTGACGCGAGTCCACCGTCCTGCGGGATATCGCCCATGTCGCATGCACGCGGGAAGAAGCGACACCGTTGCACACCCGTAGCAGAGAGAAGCAATCTCTCCGCGTCTTCGAGCTCACGTATGAAGAACGAGCTACAACATGACGCATGACGTATGGAGTACCCCCATTGGCTATCCGCATAGCACCTTGTATATACACAGCAGATATACGAGCTGCACGATGAAGAAAGCGTTATGTGTTCGTATATGTATTGTGCATCAGACTAGAACGTTGGTATAGCAACGCAAGGTCTAGAATTCAATATATGCAGATCCTCTGAGACTCTGCGAGATGACGTGACTTGTATCGGGCTGAGCCCTGTACGGCGGTAGGCCCCACGGGTTGGTATTCCACATCATACTCCCAGAAAGCTCATGGGGCAGTTGTACTGTGTAAGTTACCACTTTCTTGGTCGATGCGTCTTCTTCCACGGAGCCGTTGATTGGCACCCAAGGTCTGGCTGAGACGTGCGCCCTCGTGTTCTTAGATGGTTCAAGTACCCTCGCCATGAAGCCGCCCTCATAGTTTCTGTCGAGTCTGACGCGAGCATCGGCGTCTTCAGCTCGGGCGCGAATGGTGACTGCGGAGGAGGGGTCGCCGTCTATCACCGTGATGTTAAGCGGAGCACCCATAGACAGTCCGTTGATGTCGAAGACCCCTGCATGAGTGGGTTCGGGGTCCACTAGCCGCACGGTCGCAGTCAAGGGGCTATGAAGGCAACGTTCCATGAGCTGAAAACGAACTTTGGAGCAAGAAACTTACGCGTTGAAGCTGGACAGCATGACTGGCGCGGGGCTATAGCCCGTAGCACGTACAGCGTCGACATGTACATCCATCGGCGTATCGAAGGTGGTGTGCAGCCGAACATGACCATCGGCGCGAGCATAGCCTTGGATGCCGGGCGTTTCAACTTCAATCTCGTGAGCGGTGAACCCTTCCTATCCGAGAATGTCAATATTCAGCTTGTCAGACATCCGGGTTCATTGACTTACCCGCATCTCGAGGCGACCTCTTGCTGGAGGATATCCGTTGATTGATGCGCCAGAGTTTGAGAGGCGGAAAGATCTGAGAAGAACGTCCCCATTGACAACCACGTCTACGATGTATCCAGCATCGACCTTGACGCGATATTCAGGACCATCGTCCGGAAGCGTCAGGGTAACATTGAGTGACACTGGCCCTTCGTAATCGCTTTTGCGAGGTCCCCGCTGCAGTCGAAATACATCAATCATTTCCTGCGCTTGCCCGGGGATCCCCGATGACAGGTCCGCCTGGTAAGCGCAAGCACGAATGGGCTCTAGCGCATCGGGTCTATGATATTCAGCCACGACGTCCACTTTAGCATGGTCGCCTGAGCCTGCCCGCACATGCAGACGGGCGTCAAGTCCCGCCTTGCGGAGACCCGTGTCGACATAGACCGTGCGCACGCCCTTCCTGAGGTCTACTCGACCACTCGCACGCCGTTTACGACTGGAAGAAACACCCTTCGTTTCGGGCACCCATGCGTCTTCGGCGCCGAGACAGCGGTTCTCTGGAGAGAGTTCAATAGCAAAACCGTTCGGGGATAGAATGGACGGTTGGTGGCCAGAAAAGGCCGAGTGCTCTAACACTAATGTTGGGGCGGTGATGGGGGACGCGCCCCTCCTGTAGACGCCCCAGGCGAGTAGCAGAAGCGTGCATGCAAAGCATAGCAGTGTTATTCGTCTTGGAAGAGATCGCGGGCTCGGGCTGTTCACAACATGATCATGTTGACGTCGTTTGAGTGGGTTCATGGGGGTTCAGAATCAGAATCAGGCCGCCACCCACCGCTGCCGCGTCGACGTCGATTGACGAGGGCACATCTGAGCGCGCGTTTGTCTCACACCACCATGTCTACAGTCTACTTCGACTCGCCAGCTCACGCTCTATACGTACTATAGGCCATACAATCCCGCCCTCAATGCTCGAACTTAAGACTACTCCAATGGCCTGTTTATCACCCCTCTCCCGGTAGGACGTTGCTGCAGGCCTGTATTAGTATGCTGGGGTCACAGCGAATATATCAAGAATTTATTCACAAGTTGTGATTGGCATCGGCCACACTGCACCATCATCGCGTACGAGGGCATACTCTATGGACCCAGGGTAAGCCTTACATTCTCCCAAGTGACACTAGGCGTTTATTCAAAGTGTCCACGTCCAGCGCCTTCCGACCTGATGCACGCTCTCATTCTTCCTGGTCCCGTCCGCTCCACCGCTTAGGCCACCATTTCGCCTCCCTCACGCCCCTCACTCGCTCATCGAAGTTGCGTGCCCACCATACGGTTGCCATGGCACCGTGACCGACGTTGACGCCAGCCCAAACGAGCGCGCCAATGGCAAGCGATTTGCCCCAGTAACGCGGGCGCGACCAGGAGCGCTCATCTGTAGATGGTTCAAGAAGTGGACTCAGTGGAGACATGCAACACGGTGGACATACTGCGAAGTATGAGCAGAGCCGGTGCGGTCGCGAGGACGGGGCCGACGGTGTGGTAGACGTATGAGGCTGGAATGCCGTTGATGTACATGGTCTTCTGTCGCATCGACAACCTGTGGTATTGGATCATAGGATTGAATTGGATGATGCGTTTGAGATGCGAAATGGGGACGTACGAAAGCGGGTGCCTGCGAACGCCGAACATATTGACAGGTAACGACATCGTACGGTTCTTAATGTCGAACTCTACCCTGTTCATGGATCAGTTACTCCTGAGCTCGGACATTTACGGGAAGATGTATGCACTTCAACTGTCGGCGTGCTCCGAATACATTGATGGGTATGGGAATGTCGATGGGACCGCTCGGTGGAGGGTCTTCGGTAGGCGGCACGGTTTCCTGAGGCTTGCGCAGAATGGGCATTCTCGCTGCTTGGGCCAGTTCGCGAACGTCGACCACTTTATGAACGGCTTTGCGCTTGACCGAGTGCGCGTCGTCTCGGCGAAGGAAGTCGTGTTTACCCGCGTGGCGGCCGGATAGTACACGGTCTTGGAGATCGTTTTGTTGTTTGCGACCGCTGATTAGCCGACCTCCTATGCACTAGGCGATAGGTTATGGGACAATCACTTCCTCTCCCTGCTACTTGGGAATGCTACTTGGAAGACGGGCCAGGCAAGCTTCAAGAAGGGCGTATTAGAGACCGTCCGTGACCCTTATCTCTTCGCTATACACCTCACAAGACCAGCGCTGAAGTTACGAACAAGATGTCGTGCCGGCTTCAGCGTGTCATTGGCATATAAAGAGAGTGCCACCGCGAGAATTGCACATGTTTTGCCTGACAAAATACCCTTAAAATTGATAAGCAAAAAGTTATGTTTTCGAAGGCATTTCACGGGCTAAAAGGGATAAAACAAAAATGATATATTTTATAAATATGTTTTCATGGCCAAAAGGGTTTCACTTTTACGGACGCAAAATGACAAAGGACTTTATCCCTTTGACTCACTCAAAGGTCTTTGGACAAAGGTATTCCATTTATAAGCACCTTTTGTCCTACCCCTTTTAGTTATCAGAATATATTCCCTTTATTCAGCCGCTAAAGTTTAAATTTTGATTCGGAGCCTACAGAGGGCGAGACGAGACTCTGGCCGGGGCGGGCGCGTGCTCGGGCGTGAGCATTAACGTGAGCCTATATATGTATCGTATGTACCGTATGTAGGTAGCCGGGCCAGTGACATAGATGGACAAGAAATGGGAGAGGGCGAGACGAGACTCTGGCCGGGGCGGGCGCGTGCTCGGGCGTGAGCATGAATGTGAGCCTATAGATGTATCGTATGTATCGTATGTAGGTAGCCGGGCCAGTGACGTAGATGAACAAGAAATGGGAGATATCTTAACTCGCGATGCAGCCGGGCGGCCTGTCGTTGTCGTCCTGAGCGGTCCGAAAGTGGCGTCCGAGTTGCTCGACTATGCTCAAGCATATACTCCGATCGGCCTCGATGGATCGTCGTGTCGGACATATTTTCTATGTCATTGTGCCATGTCCAGTGTGAAATTGGCGAACGTAAGGGAGGGAGAGAGGGAGGGAGAGAGGGAGGAAGGGACTCCATGCGAAAGGGGTGCCGACGTCGGAGCCTGACAAATGAGTTAGAAATCGTGAGGTTTAGGATGGTGCGGGGCGCGGAAGATGGCGGTCAATAGAGGATACACACATATGAAACCAAGCCTTGACGGCGATGAGCTCCTTGCTACCGCGCCACGCCTCCGAGAACTCGCGGACGGCATTTGAACCGAGAGCAGCGCCGATGCCCTGAATCATTCACTCAGCCCCGAATCGGCGTCGGGAGGGTAAGCCAGTGCGCCTTGGCGACCGGCGTACCGCGTAAGAGGTCGAAGAGCGCAGGAAAGCTTGCACGAGGAGGGTGAGTGTTATAAGGTGGTCGTCGAAGAAGAAGCGCAACATGCGCTCGTTCCGCGCGACGGCGGACCGCCGCGCGTGCGAGACAAAAAAACAATAAGAATCATCGTCCACAAGGGATATACATTTGAACAAGTAAACTGAAAACAATCGAAGCCGATAAATTCCATTGAAAGTGATTCTTTTGTCCGACAACAATGGTGTTCGAAATCATTTCTTTTATCTGGAGCAACAGCCCTTTGGGAAAAGGGTAACCCTTTTGCGGCCTTAACTTTGTTTCGAAATATTTTCCATTTTATAAATACTTTTGGCATCCTAAAAGGTCACCGAAAACATAACTTTTTCCTTATCGTTTTTGGCACTATTTTACTAGGTAAAATATGTGCAGTTCTCGCGGTGTGCGCGTCGTTCCGGCCGGCGCGGCTTGTGCGTACAGGGAACCACATTCCTTTATGCGGTAAATGTGGACCCACACCCCCGGTGGACATTTTCTCGCTTCCACGATAGGTGTATTGTAGTATCTAATCTCCTATGTTGCAGAAGTGACGAGCAATACTACTCAGTATGCTATATAAGAACGTCATTCAGAAGCGTTGAGCACGGCAGTCGGCGATACGCGATTGTGAAACGCAGTACACTCGGAGCCGCTGGGTTGCTGTAGTGAGATGCACCGTAAGATAGAGGCCGATCCTGTTCGGAGTTGAACCATCTGAACTTCGAGTACTTGGCGTCACTCAGGGAGGTCGGAGTTGGCGCCTTAACCCTTGGAGAAAGTTGGAGGAGGGCCAATCACAACAACCGCAGATCACGACGAGCGCGACACAATATGCTACTTCCTCCAACAAGAGCTTGGAACCCTCGGTATCGGTGAACGGGCGCGACCCACGCTTTCATCCGACACCTTCGGTGTGCACAGTGTGCTAGGTCAAAGTGCTCAAAGCGAGTCGCGTGCCGACGGCAGTGAAAGACCCAAGGAGAAACCATACGAATGCAAGACGCGAAACAGAGCCTCAGGAGTATAAGACCGTCACGAATGCAGGTCATCTAAAGACATAGCAAGTTGGCCACGACTTTACTCAGTATATCTCGCCAGCGACCTCGCCTACCCTCTCGTTCGCTCGAGTCATAAGGCCACTGGCGCAGCGGCTATTGCCGAGGTATGCACTGAGCGTGGTCATCCTCGCTGCAGTCATTCTCCGCTGAGAGCTCTGTATTAGTGGTCTTCAGGCTTGCGCTTGCGCAACCGCTGAGCGCTGAGTGCGATCCGGATAGCTTCACGCGTGTCTGAACTCGTGCAGCTCGATGATTGCCTGCAGGGGATGATGGTGGTCAACAAGTAACCCGTGCGCGCCGCGTCTTCCCGTAACATTCGCCCTCGCGCGTCTTGCCTCTCACCACCACATCTGGCGCTCGATTCACCGGCATCGATTTCGTTCACCAGGTCTCTGTCGCACTTTCTGACTGCCGCTGAGGAGAATACCTTGGTCGTCACCGGTCTTCATGGATCTCGCCTTTCCGAGCATATTCCGCGATACAAATGAGTGCGTGGCGTAAACCGTCTGCTGTGAATATTGCCCTCATCACACACGCCAGCAATCAGCCTGATGTAACCCCCTCCATGGAAGACCTTCCTGATCTACTCCGCATAGACACGCTTTCCAAAGTAACACTGTCAACTCCATCGGGTGTGGACACTGTGACGAACACGCTCGCTCATCTCGACAGGGCGCAGGACTGGCTACATCGCCTTTCGCGGACCTTTCAACTTCGGTCCGATCACCTCACTGCCTACCGCAACAGTCAAATGAACGGAGGGCTGCCTATCGCGCGATTACCGGTGGAGGTGCTCCGGATCATATTCGAATACGACGCCGCATCACACGGTCTCTGGACTTCCGAATTTGGCGAGAGTTGGATGAGGCTCGGCGCGGTCTGTCGCCATTGGCGACTGGTGTTGTTCGACACGTCAAACATATGGGCAGACGACCTCTTTGGACTGGGCATTTCCGCAGTGTCCGATTTGCTGCCTTTCACCAAGAATGCCCCGCTGAACATCATACTCCCGTACTCTCCACCGCTGGACCACATCGAGGGCATATATAAGATGATGACCCGCGCTTGGCACTTCTCCGGCGAAATCCCTCTGCAAGAGGATCTTCGTAACGTCATCGACATCTTGGCCCGCAAGTCCTTTCCCTATCTGGAGTCTCTGCGCCTCGAGTTCGAATACGAAGATAACAGGACACAACAGCGCAAATCTCGCATTAAACCCATGGCGAATTGTCCCAATCTGAAGCATCTGAGCCTGGCCAACTTCTACATGACGCCGCCAGTGCCTAACCAGCTGGTATCCCTTGCCATCCACTTCGAGAAGAAGGGCGATAACTCACGCCACTCGGCGACGGAGAAACCGACACTGGATATGATGGTAGAAGTTCTATCTGGGAATCCTACATTGTGTGACCTACTCCTCTACAACTCCTGTACAAAGGCCCCTCGGCCAATATCATCGCTAAAACGCATACTGCTTCCCAACCTGACGTCGATCAACCTGCATCATCCCGGCGCGTTGTCTTCGAACCTACTCGATCACCTGTGGTTGCCCGCTCTAGATGACGCTACACTATCTTGGGAGACACCAGGGCTCGGTCACGACGACGGTCACGACGAAGGCACGCAGGTTTACAAGAGCTTGCTCTACGCTTGGGCTCAGCCTTCCACGGATCCCATGGAGAAAACACTTATTTTGCCGGTCGAAGGTCATGCATGCAGGGATATGCACGCCAGACAGGAGCAATTCTCGCTCGCCCTAAAGGACGTGAATGGTGCGCTGAAGGGCGGATACCAGATAAGACGTGAGAGCACGATGTCCGAAGGTGTTCAAGTACTTCCATATAATTACGTGTTCAGACGTGAGATACAGAGCTGATTCACTTTGTACTACCTTTGTATTAAGGAATGTCAATCCCACTCAGAACCACTTTGCATTCCACCAACAGCTCAAGCCAAGCGTGATCTGTTGGCCAATCTCGCGATGGAACCATTCAGATTCGCCCAGCCCGTCATGTAGATGCCCCATCCGGTCGATACTATCACCCGTTTGGGGCTCGACCATTTCATTCCCAGGCCGTCCTCTACGATCAACATACGGTGTCAGAAATGAGGCTGAGTCTTAGCTTTAGTATACGCACTACTAGCGACAGTGGTGTATCCCATGATGGCCCAGAACGGGACCCATGGTAAGTAGCCCCAGTATCTCGCCGGGATGCCATTGATATGCAATTGGTTGTTCTGACTCGTCAGGCTGCAAACAAACAAATGTTATAGGTCTAAATGCTGACATTGTGGGCTGGGATATACGTACATGAACGGACGAAAGTGCGTGCCGAACAGATCGAATGTCGGCCAAGAAACCCTCCCCTTTCCCTCGTCAACTTCGACCCTATGGTAGGTCTCAACCAATACGAGAGCAGATACTCTGAAGCATGAGAAGCGTACATTGCAGGGAAGTGCACACCATTGACCTTGATCATCTTGATCTTATCCCTTGGGCGAGGAGGACATGGTGGCGGAGTATGATGATCGCCGGGTTCTGGTAGAGACATGGCGAGGACACCCACGCTCAAAGGTATCTGCATTCTTGTACATGACTTACACGCTCGGAAAGCCGTATGGACGCGTCGCACCGGCACTTGCGCGCGTGTCAAGAATCTCATTTGGGATGTGCGGACCCACAAGCCGCACTGTCGGGAGAAGTGCAACTCCCAGACCACTGCGGCGCCGCTTCTCGTTGACCGGCATGTCCGCCAAGACATAACGCCAGTAGGCTCTACATGAAGTCGTCCTTGCGGTTTCTGATAGTAGCTACCATGTACAGTCGACATTATACATATGCTTCAACCCCGCAGCGGGGCGATCTTTTCCCGCAACTCCCACTCCTGCCAGAAAACGTGGGGAACGAAACCCCATACCACGGCATCAGATGTAAGGCGCAATAGAGGTTGGCGCCGCACTGATGATGATAAACACGACATAGCAAGGGGACGATGGTTAGTGAAAGACCTAAGATGTGGAAGGCGAACGCGTACCACGATTGTAGATCGTCAGGAGGGTGATGCTGATGCTAGAGGCAATTAAGATACGGAGGCGGCCCTCTTGAGTACTGGTATTAAGTTTAGCGAGTTCTTCGATCGAGATATTGACGAGTAGTCACTGACAATGGAGCGCGAAGACCAAGTCCTGCGACTATTAGCGCAAGTGGGCGAGGGATCGAGGTGGGGTCAGGATATACAAGAGGCTGGTACTCGTTTGTCGACTTCGAAGGATCCATGTCTGACTAGTGAGTCCTCATCCGCAAGAGACGCGAGGCAGGCGTTATATACGTAGCTGTGGCCATTCGTTGCGCGTTGCCTCGGCAAGCAGAAAGGTGTGTTTGACGCTCGACCATGACGCGTGCGAAGGCAATCTCGGAGTCCGATTCAATGACTTCGGCAACGGCCAATCCAGGGAGAATACCGGCCAGGAAGACCTCGCGTGCTAGACTCAGAGCCGGGAGACGTCGGCCTAAGGCATACAAGCGTACGAAAGGGCTATGAAAATGTACAGAACGAGCTGTGAGCGACGCACCGCCGCGGCGAGCCATGTACAGTGCCGTGGCTGTGGTCGTGCTGAGTGCTTCTATGAGGAGCCCTCGACCTTCAGGCGTGCTAAGATTTAGCGCAGGAATAAGTTCCTGAAGACATTCCGCGCGGGGATAGATATATGATGACCCACAATGAAGTTCGGAGACCCAATCCTGCTGCGAATATTGCAACAGGACGGGGTAACGGCGCATCGGCGATAGCGGCATTGGCACTGGCGTTCGAGCCATCCGGTGGAGACTTGTCGTTCCGCTCTGAGGGCATCGTCGTGGTGCTTGAAAGCTCTCAAGCCGTCAAAAACACAGCATATATACATCAACGCGGGGGCTGGATGGCAATTGCGAATCGCGTCGGCGAAGGCGGCGCGTGGTTTGGGTGCGCCGATGACGCGTGCGAAGCTGGGACCCATAGTCGGTACACGGGGACCTACAAGGCACCAAACCTCATAGATAGAACATTTGCGCCATCGAGTCTGTACGAACTTGTCGATCCCGCTTTAGGATGAGTCCACGACGTCGTCTCGTAAAGCCATCCATAGACTGAGCTTCGATGATAATTGGCGGCGAGAATGTCTTATTCGGGCGTGGGGCGTGTGAGGATTGGCCGGCACTGGCGCCTTGTTGTCGATAGTGCATGTGCCCAGTCAATATGTGGCTCTACTTCGACAGATTGAGAGCACAAGCGCTCACCGCGAAGGAAGAGCGATCATACGAGATGCGTCGCTCGTAGATACTCAGTTTTTCATACTGTCGTCCATTCCTAGGATGTATACGCGTTGTTCGTGCGAGGACTGGCGGTAGGTTGCACCATTCTGTGGACAATGGAGGCGCGAAGTCAGTACCTGGTTCTGCATCGGCGGGATGGGAGCATGAACGCGTACCGCGAGTGAGAGCGTCGTGACTGGTCCACCAGTAAGTAGTAGCGCTGAAGGTGAAGTCCTTGAACCCACGAGAAAGGCCGATCTGTCAATTTGGTCAGTACTGTATGCGGAAGTACAACGTCGCTAGAGATATATCGACGACACCTGCTAGTATTCGAGGCAAGCGCCCAGGGTATCAGTCAGAGGTCACCTTTCACGAATCTAGGCATGGGCGCTGGCTCGACCTCAGCTAGGTTTGCGGAACTCGCTGCGCCATTGCGAGATACTATTGGCACCAATGACAGCGTATCTGGATAGCCATCATCTTCGGACCCACAGGCTATTATTGTCGGCGTAGTCGGACAAGTGACGGAAAGACGGAACGGGGCGGGTACATCTCGAGCCAACGTCGGACAAGGGCGGAAGCTCAGACAGCAAGTACGCGCCAAATCAGGTAGCGATAGCGGAGAGGGCGCGCAACGCCAGAGCTGCCGGAGCGAGCGACGCCTCGAATGCCGACAACGCACGATCTTGAGATGCCAGTAGCGCCCGGCAGGCAGACTCTATACTTCGCGATAAGAAGAGATGAAAGTTGGCAGCCGGGCGGCCGCCTCGAGGATAAAGCTTGTGGAGGATTCAAAAAGCCCGACCAACGAACGATGGTTCCCTGCCGCCACCCACGACCGCCGCGCCATGCCGGGCCCGAGGTGAGCGCGCGCTCCAACTCTGGCGCGCGGCGGACTTTGCGGCGCGCTCGCTGGTGCGCGCTGACGGAGAGCGGGACACGTGCTCCGCGCCGAGCGGCCGAGGGCGGAAAAGGAAAATGAAAGAAAAAGGCGCGGCCCACGCGCGCCTGGAGGGAAGTGATCCTCGCCCCGCACTCGCGCGAGTTCTCCTGCCAGCCTACGTCCCGTCTCCGCCCGACTCCGAGAAGAAAGTCGAATGGCTGAATCGGCTTCTCACTCGCAACTCCATCCTCTCGCACCCCGCCCATCAGCACCCCAGGCCACCACCAGCACTGCGTCACTGGGCGTCGCACCCGCGCCTCCACCGCCCCCACCACCCGCTTCATCATCTTCATCTGCCAATGGACACGGGCGCGGAGATAGTGGAGGGGATACAGACGATGAGGGAGGAGGCACTGCGGGCGGGAAGAAGAAGAGCAAGGCGAGGAGGAGGAAGGTCAACCACGCCTGCCTCTACTGCAGGAGGAGCCACATGACCTGCGACGAGGGAAGGCCCTGTCAGCGCTGGTGAGTTGCGATCGCTCATTCAATAAGAAGAGTACCTGGCTGGAGCAGGACACCAGTGCCAAGTGCCCGGTGAATGGTAGAAACGCGCTCGACGAGCGATTCTCGTCCGAGAGCGTCCATCCCTTCCCCGGGTGGGTGATAACTGGTGTCCGGCACACCAATGGTGTTCAGTTCCCCAAGAGAGCCCAGCGCAGGCCTCATTGCTGGAGCTGTTGCATCATACTCTCTACGGCCGCATAGCTTGCGAATGTGAACGCTCATACTCTATCCCAGCATCAAGCGCGAGATCGGCCATCTCTGCCACGACGAGCGCCGACCGGCCAACGCCAAGCAGCCCTCCCAAGATCCACAACCTCAGCCCGCACCAGCAATAACCATAACGCGTACGCCAACACTATCATTTGCCCTTACAGTATCACTAAACCCTCCTCAGCCGGTATACCCTATACACCCGCGCCTGGCAACCCACTCTCCGCCGGCCCCTCAACAGCACCGCTCGACAACCCGTACAACCCGTACATGTACCCCCTCGAATCCTTCGGCAAAGAATTCTCCTCCCTCTCCGACTTCCTCGAGACGCTCGACGAGCACGCCTTCTTCTCCTCCACCGCGCCCGGCTCGTCCGGCTTCACGCCCACATCCGCCTTTGCCTCCACAGGGCTCGACCTGAACGGCGCCTCGGCACTAGGAACCGTAACGGGCGGCGCACCGCCCGAGCCCCCGCAAGAGCCCGTGCTACCCGCGGCGAGCATGACCGAGAAGTTCCTCCTCACCGCCGCGGACCAGGAACCCGGTCCTCGGGACGAGCGCCTCAAACGCGTTATCCGGACGAAGTACGAGGCCGGGCTGCTCAGGCCGTATAACTACGTCAAGGGCTACGCGCGCCTGAGCAGGTGGATGGACCGCAACGTCAGCCAGGCGAGCAAGCAGCAGATCCTGCACCCGCTGAGCGTGCTGCGGCCCAAGTTCCGCGCGATCGCGCAGAGCTTGCGCGATATCGATTTGGTGTTTATCGAGGAGGCGTTCGAGCGGTTACTTCTTGACTACGATCGGGTGTTCAGCGTCATGGGGATCCCGGCGTGTTTGTGGAGAAGGACGGGCGAGATATATAAGGGAAATCGCGAGTTTGCCGAGTTGGTCGGCGTGGAGGGGTGGATGTTGCGCGACGGGCGGCTGTGCATTTATGAGCTTATGGCGGAGGAGAGCGCGGTGAATTATTGGGAGAAGTATGGGAATGTCGCGTTTGATAGTACGCAGAAGGCGGTGCTTACGAGCTGTGTGTTGAGGTTTAAGCCGAAGCTTACCTCGGGCACTGCGTCCACCACTCCTGCTACTGCTGCGACTGCTACCGTGACGAACGGGACGAGTGCGAATGGGAGTGGGGCAGGGGGGAGTGGAGAGGGCAGGCCGAGTACGAGCAACGGGACGACGGTTAACGGCAATGGCGTGCCGAAGGAGGCCGTCAGCGAGGAGATCGCGGCGGGCGAGGGCGAGGAGGCACTCATTGCGTGTTGCTTTTCGTTCACCATCAGGAGGGATACGTGGGGCATACCGAGTATGATTGTCGGGAACTTTATTCGGTTGTAACGCTTCGGACGCTGCTGCAGGACGGTGTAGATGCTTTTGACTGTTTATTTGTTGATTGTATTGCAATGGGTTGTGGATGTGAAATATTGTATATGTCGCTGTCTCTTCTTCATCCCAGTGCTCCTTTCTCCGCGATTCTTCGTACGAACGACACAGAAGGTGTGTTGCGGCCCGGGGTCGATGTGCGAGGTCGAGTTTCAAAAGCATACGCGATCCCGTGAGCTTCGGCCGCGGCCAGGCGCGACGGCGCGTCAAGAGATCTGATAGAAAGCCTCTGCATCGCGTTACCAATCGATTTCCAAGCAAGTAGCTCAGGTACAGTAAGACTATCAGCTTCTCAGCTCACCAGGTGGCAACCAGGCGGCTTCGTGGCCCGGTATCTCCGCTGCAGGACCGTACAAATATTACCTCGTGGTATGTCTCGGCAAAGTCCGAAGGGCCGCCGGGCCGGTCGGCGTGCGTTCATACTGGACGACCGAGTTCGACGCGTTCGTCTGCCTCCAACGTCCATGGCACAGTTCACTTGTACCTATTTATATCCACGCCAATCTCGAATATCTGAATCTTGAAAGTCGTCGGACATCTAGGCGGCACATCCGCTCGCTGAAGAGGACTGCAATGCACTCTCGTCCAAGGCGCACACCCTCCCATCCTGAATATCCTCGGATCCTCGACGGCGCGTGATACGTCACTCGTCACGGCGCCTATACAGCACACCCGTACAGAACCTATGATCTCGACGACCACGGATATACACCGGTCAGAGTGCATGCGCCTTCTACCCCTTCTACCTTCTGTCGCTCCCACCATGTGCCTCCACCCTTGGGTTTAAATACGCGTTCGGGTGCATGCCCGCGGACTGACAAAAGAACATGCTCGCGGGCCTCGCACTTGCGTCTCTATTCGCGAGCCTTGTCTCTGCGGCTAGCTGGATCGCGCCTGGGGCGGTTTGGTATGATAGTGATGGGGCGAAGATCGATGCGCATGGGGGTATGATTCTTAAGCCTGGAAATGTCTTCTACTGGGTGCGTGCACCTACTGCTGCTGTGAACTGGAGAACTGATGAGTGCGCGTCGTAGGTGGGCCAATCCTGGGATAGCAACACCTCCCCGCGCATCTACTCCTCCGAGGACTTGATCAACTGGGATAATCGCGGCCTCGCGAACTCGATTGAGTGGCTTTACCGCCCCAAGATGTTCGTCTCTGGGGGACGGTACCACGTACGTCTCCTCCGCAGTCAAACTTGCCCAGCACATATTTCTAACAGCGGCCTCGATACAGATCTTCGGCCAGGTCAACCGGCTGACACAGGCCATGTCCTCGACCAACATCGCGAGCGGCTATAACTTGTACGGCTCGCCCATGTCCATTCCTCCGGACAGCTACACGTTCAGTGACTGTGGCGTGTTCGCCGATACTGATGGTGAGTGCAAGTCGCGTATGGAAAGATGTTTGTGGCTGACTGTGTGGGGCAGGTAACGACTACTGGATCACGAGCGCCGACCATAATACGATTGCTATCAACCATATTAATGGCGGCACGCAGAGCAGCGTCGGCGACAGGGTTGCATACCTTTGTGAGTGTTGTCAGCGGTGCTCACTGAGCGTATGGCTGACGCACCTGACTAGCTCTTGGCGCGTACGAGGCACCTGCCCTGTTCAAAGTCGGCAGTAAGCACTTTCAACACGATTCTGACGTTCCGATTGTAACACCTACTTAGGCGTCTACTTCCTCATCGTCTCGGCAAAGACCGGCTACCGCGCGAACCCGGACAAGGTCTTCTGGGCGACGAACCTCGCTGGTCCCTGTAAGTCCTCCCGCTTTCATCTTCGCCCTACACCCCGGCCAATCTTGTCTTCACCTGCGTAGGGACCGGCCCCAAGGACATCGCCCCCGAGTCGACGAACACCTACAACTCGCAGTCGACATTCGTACTCACGATCGCCGGCAGCTCACAAACAACATACATGTTCATGGGCGACGCGTGGGACTCGCAAGGCACGAGCGCCTCGAACTACATGTGGCTCCCGATGAGCGTGTCATCGTCCGCGCACACCGCGACGCTGCAGGACTACGCGTACTGGAAGGTTAACCCTACGACTGGTGTGGTGACGACTTCGTCGACGGGGAAGCGGTATGAGGCGGAGGACGCGACGATCGCTGGCAGGGCGGGTGAGTAGAGTTTTCGAGTGGTTTGAGTATTGGGTTGATGGTGATTTTTGTAGCCGTCGCGGACTGCGAGCGTTGTATTACCAAGCGTTCCGTGCACCGGAGTAAGTCCCAACATCTCCCGTCGCGACGAGGCGCATGCTCTAACTAATCTCTTCTTTCAGTCGACCCTACCAGCAACGTGACCTTCACCAACGTCGAGGGTCTCGGCACAGGCGAGCGCCAGTGGATGTCGCTGCACTACACCGTAAACAACGCGACCGGTAAGCATCCTCCACCTACTCCATCCCTTGAACGCTGCGCTGATATAGCTATCATTCAAGGCGGCGACGCGTTCGTGCACGTTAACGGCGACAAGTTCCGCGTGCGCGACCTGAACGTGCGCGCGGGCCTGCACCACACCGTCCCGATCTCCGTCGTGCTCGCGAAGAAGAACGTCGTCTCTTTTTCTGTGGAGTCGAACGACAATATGTTCGAGGCGCGCCTTGATGGGATTGAGGTGCTGGATGGGACTGAGGAGGAGATCGAGGTGAAGCTTTGAACTCGCTATATACCAGACACTTATGAGTTTGCGATAATGACACACTGGGTCTTTTGGAACTACCCTTCGGACGACACTTCCAACGCTGAATCCGCCTACGCGCGTGGAAGGCGACTTCGCAACGCAGCGCGATTAGATCAGATACGAAGTAGATGGATCGACAATAGCTCGGAGTAGAGATGTTGTTGTAAAGGAGACTGTAAGAGTCTGTAAGAGTGCTTCCTACGAGAGCTGATCACAGGATACGGTAAGGATAAACTGGCTCGTTGAATGCTTTCACAAAATATGTGCAAAATGACTGATATTGTCCAATCATTTACCTTGGCCATTTCGGCAGCGTGAGCTGTGTTGAGTGTAGATGGGTTAGCCCAGTCACAATCGCCTCCCAACAGCACCTTACGAGAGGGTGTAGACGTCGTTTTGGCTGAGACAACTCAACTCAACGCGACTCGACGCATGCTGCCGAAATGTTCAGTTGCCGCGCCGCATCTCGTCCATCCTCTCCGAAGAACTTACAGCCTACAGTCAAGCACCCGCTTTCATCGTGAAATCAAGTACATAATGAGTGACATGAGGGCTCGGAGGTCATGACAGCAATGCATAGTACGCTACACGTGTAAAACAAGAGCAAGATGGACATAACTTACAAATGTATGTGTGTACGTATGTGATATGCATGGCAGCGCAGTAGATGGAGTCTAGTTCCGAAGGTCTATGATCTCGAGAGGCATATCCGTCAGGACGACATGATCCTTGTGGGTATCCTAAGAGCAGCGTTAACATACATCCTACAGAAACGTAATCAAGAACTCACGGTATATATGGGAGCAGGAATATGAAGGTGGAAGGCTTCCTTGGCCTGGCAGTCAAGGACGATCTGGAGGCCGGGAGGGTCGGTGAGGCGGAAGATCCCGAAACTGATGACGCGATGAGATCCGGTAAAGTGTACATGAATGAAGGAAAGGCGTACCTAGGGTTGTACTTGGGTGTGCATACGATAGCGAATGACTCGGGAAGCATCCTCTGGAAGCCGCTGTGCGTATAAAGGTCGATTGACGACATGAAGCCTGAAATCAATAGTCAGAGCGAGTCCGAGGATAATCAAGTCAAGACGTACAAGACTGAGTCGGGTGTGTATGGATCCACCCAAGTGTGATCAACGACCGCGTCTCCGTGAACTCGAGTACAAGCTCCTCTTCATCCATCGTGCAGGTATCGCTTGTTGAATGTTGCTTGGGTATGAGCAACGTTGTGACGTAAAAGCGGTCGCCGTCGTCGCGACCCAGTAACAGCCCGCATGTCTCGCGATTACGCTTGGTGTTGATACCAGCGATGGCAATGAAGCGGTCAATTACTTCGTTGGGAGTGTCTACTCGGCGCAGTCGTAGAGGGCCCTTGTTCGAACTAGACTGGGTCTGCTGAGCGGGTGGTGCCTGTACGCGCGTTGGCGGTGCGGATGGTGTAGACCGTGAAGGTGCACCATGTAATCCGTAGGGCATTGCGGGCATAGACAGAGGATTGTTGTACAGCGCTTGACTAGGATTGGGCTGTTGGAGTGCACCAGGTGGAGGCGGCCCAACGAACATTGACGATGCCGAGGGCCCATACCCTTGCTTGATCTGATGTTGCAACATTAGAGACGGGTGTCCGATGGGTAGGACTGGCGGGGATCTGGTCTTCGTCCTGTTTAGTAGTCTAGATGATATATTAGTACTAGCGGTGTAAGAGGTCGTAATGGTTCGCGTACGTTCGGGAAAGACGTAAGCCGGATAGAGGCCTAGTGATCATTAGATTCTCGTGCCATCGTCAAGTTTAATAACGTACTGTGAAGGGATTTTAAGCGGCAACGGAAGGATGGGTATTGGCATAGATGAGGGCACAGTGTGTTCCGGAACGGCAACAGGCGCGGACGCCGATACTGTTGGTACCGGAGACACAGAACGAACTGCCTGTGCCGCCGTTACTGCTTCGCGAACGGTCAAAAATGACGGGAGACGGTTATACGCTTCGGATTTTTCAGTAAGCGTGTTCTTGATCGTCGCGAGTTGGCCCAAAATCTCTTCACCGTGCTGCAAAACACAATCAGTACGCGGACAAAAGTACGCATGCGATATCGGCCTGATGAGTAGTTTGAGACCAATATGGAATGACTGGGCAACAGATCCATCCGACATGATGCAACTCTGAGTGCTTTGCTCGGATTGATCTCGTGAATCAAGGCCAATACTACCATCATACAGAATGAAGAAGCACTCACCAGTCTCATGTTATGTCTCTGCAAAGCGTTCAGAGCTATAGTGTAGTCCCTATGCGCAGGCGTCTTTTCGAATATAATAATAGCGGCGCGTGAGAGCTGAATAACTGCGTTCCCCAAATCACCTTCTTCGTGCAGACGCCGCCCGGCATTCCGTGCACGTTGCGCAATACGCAGGTACTGCTTCAGCGTCAGACTATGATCGTCCGTTCCAAGATCTTTTGCAACTTCGGCGAGCTCTCCAATGGTGCGCGGTCGCCGCGGTGGTCCGGAAGAAGCAGACGCGCC